TTATCTATTAAAGATTTAATTTAATGGAAATATGATAAGGCTTTTTTATTTGTTTTGGTGTCAGAAATAAAAATCCAAATATTCTTCATTACATATGATAATTCAAGTGAAGAAGGGGTTATTTTTATCCGGTAAAATTGTATGGATAATTAATTTTCCTTTGAATATGTAACAAAGAAGTAACTTCAAACTCTTTCAATTATTGAACGATTCCTTGTTTATATATCACTATATGCAAGAGAGATGGTTCGAGAATACAATCCGGGTGATTCACAAAAAATAATAGTAAGACGACCTTTAACTAGACAGCTCAATATCCAATCTTCCTGTCATTGAGATAATGAATCGTACAATGTTAGACCACCGTTAGAAACCCGGAAGCATTGAATGACCGTTTCATCCCAATACGAAACTCGTCAGTAGAGCGCATCCACATCTCCACGAATGGGAATCGGTCTCGCTCATGAACTCTTAACTACTATACCCTTTGAGCTGTCATTCAACGGTGCTAATGTCCAACTTCAATGGATCCACGATATTGCGTGACCACGTTCATTGTCTCCGGAGAGAACTGCTTAACACCCGACAGGGATGAACTCCACTGGTCACAACTTCTCACTAGAACTCGGAGAAATTTTCCTACGAAGCTAGTCCTTATTGAGCACTTAATAATTTTCATTATAGGGTTGTGAGAAATTGTTGAGTTTCATTGAAATCATGCATCCATCGATGTTAAACCACCATTATAAACCTGGAAACAATGAACAGCCGTTTCATATAAGTACGGGACTCATCAGCAGAGCTCATCAACAACTCCACGAGCAGTAATCGAATCGTGGACCTTTGGTCTCACTCACGATCGCTTAACCTCTATCTAGACCACTGAGCTGAAATATGTCTTGAACTATGTCATAACTCACCTTGTTTATATATATCCTTATATCTGCTTGTCGATCGATAGATAACTATGAATGACATTATCATTCTGTTTGTTCACGTTTATTGATAGCTAGTGTTTTTCTTATTTCTTAAAAACTAATTACCAATATAAATAGATAGATATCCATCATATTGTTAGTATGGATTTATTTTACTTTTATACTCCTTAAGCCCTTATTCATACAGCCACTATTTCTATTTTGCTATGTTAGTGTAACATCGTAAAACAACCAGACTAGTCAACTGGATGAGCATCAACTATGCAGTTTCATTGATAAGGTTTATATTTCTTTTGATTCTATTATATTTAAGATCGTATCTACCCAAACTTTGTTGATATTCGATCAATTCATAATGTTGATACCTTTATGTTTACTATTGATACAAGTTTTTGAGTATATTTTGTAAAACTCGATATCTTGACAGATTACTGTACTATCATGCTAGGACTGAGAAATGATTGATCAACATTAGACCAACATTAGAAACTTGGAAGCATTGGATGGCTGTTTAGCCCTAGTAACGGACTCATCAACAGTGTGCATCCACGACTCCGTGAACTAAGGAGCTTCAGTTTCGCGTACGAACTCCTAAGTTATTGACCACTGAACTGGCATCTGTGTTGAGTGTGAGGCAGTTAGTTACCCACCGGAGACAATTAATGAGGTTGCGCAATAATATGGATTGAGTGAAGTTAGACATTAACCACCTTTGGTTTTCGGCTCAATGGTCTAGAGTTTAAGTCTTCGCGCACGAGACCGAAAGTTGCTCGGTTAGATTTCCATGTTAGGTCCCACACTAAGACTAAATAGTCATCCAGTGCTTCTGCATTTCTAATGATGTTCTAACATTGACTGATTCATGATTTTAAAGATTACTGTAATGTTTTTATGAATGAATGTATTCAGATAACTGCATATCTGAATAATCAAAATGACAATTATTTCAGCTACCCAATTGGTGCTTTTCATAATTTTAATCATTCATCTACCAATATAAAGTGTACATGCATATATATACATGCGTTAAGTCAGTAATATCAGTGATCAAGTAACCAATACGATTGAAATGATTCATTTAATGGTCGCACTAATATTCTATACAAAGTAACTCCGCCTGGATCCCATCATGGGCTTCTGTCGGTCCCAAGCGCGGATAAAGGAGAAGGGTTGGGCATGGGCTTAGTGACCCCATCCCGTAGAAAACTAACTCACTAAAAAGCGCTAACCATTCTATACAGAATACAAAAATGAACAGGCTTGTCTTATAACACATCGTTGTTTGAAACTATAGTTACTGTAAATTAGTCTGAGTATGATACACACGTATACATTGCCTCAAACATCATATTCGCTAAATAAGTTGCTAATTACCTGTATTCAGTGTAGAACGCATCCATGTATAAAAAAAGTTAGGTATTGTGTTCGATTTAGGCATCTACCTTCAACTGATAAGTCCCAAATGAAATGCATCATATGTGTTTGTTTTATTCTAGTATTAGCTATAATACAAAGTTATAATAATAGCCTACTAGAAAATTCACCATATATAATGAATTCAAGATAATCTCAAAAAACCCAATGTGGATTCATAAATAATTTAACCGAACAGTTAGGACAAGTAAAGTATATCCATCAATAAAATAATTATTGTTTTGTAGTGGAACGCTTCTACGAAGAAAATACGACTTGTGAAAAATAAACATTATTGTACTCGTTTTGTTTAACTGTACCAAAAAAAGCATTTCTGGCGCGCAACATTCTTTTCGCGTTGCTGCCATTTTTCTTAACTTACTGCTCCTCATATAATGCCTAATTTCTCATTCAATAAAACATTACAACATGGATTTATTTTGATATATATGATGGGATAATAGGGGACATTTAATGGTGATCATAGACAATCTGGTACCTCTCACCACTAAAGTTTTTACTGTCCAAATTACAACAGATTGTTTGAATTACAATTGTGTAACATCAATTTAGGAGGTTAGAATAATTAGTTAGTGAACAAGTCAAAATGCATTGAGATTCTAAATAGTATTCTGAAAGCTCATATAAACTCGAATGACAATAAAACTCAACTTATATGTTACGTGGTAGCTTACAGACTCATTCCAGCTGTAGATCTCAGTATACGCTAAGGGAACAAGTAAGACCTTCAGATTCAACACACCAAGCAATCACCTATTGCACTGGACAAAGAAGCTTTGGAAGATATGGAAATTTTCACATGCCTGGGCATAAAATCCAGATGTGAATGGACAGATTAGCAAAGCAAGGGCAATATTTCCACAACTAAAGAACATCTAAAACAGTTATGTACACAAGATACTGCAAATCCGTAGACTAGACATCATAAGCAATAACCTACTGCTGCAGAGAACAAGTCAGATTCCAGCTGAGAATGAAATTGAGGAGAAAGTGCAGGAGGTGGACAGGACACACAGTGATGGAAGCATCCAACTGTAAGCCTTAAATTAGAATCCTTAAGACCAAATTACAAGTGGTAGACAAAGGAACACATTACGCTGACCATCTGGATAGCATTTGGTTACAACTGGAAAGGTGGGCTCAGGACAGAGTTGGTTAGAGAATGCTAGTGGACGGTCTATGCTCCATTAGGAGTAACAATAGTAAGTAACTTTGTGTAGTACAGTGTATCCATAATGAAAATTAGGTGAATGAATAAAATGTCGGAAGATAGAATTCATTATTTTTGATTTTTTTGATAAAACAATCCCAGACATATCCGATGTTATTTCAAAGTCTCTGAGATCATGAGCATTTAACCAACATCAATTTTCTATTGATATAAGTCGACCACTTAATTATCTACTTATAAAACAATACTCTTAGCTTTTTGAATGAAACTAAACATGATGTTATATTTACTAAAACAGATTTACAGATTACTTTAATCAAGATTATGTAATGTAATAGTTTTTCCAAGTAATGAATTAGTTTTGTCGATAATGTAAAACCAATAAATTCCATCCTTTAAAAATAAAACTATTTTCCTTTCCAAAAACTTATTTCTTTTTACACATGAAAGTCAATTTATGTTCAATCTCTTTGGACAAGATACCCACAAGGATAATTATTCATACGCTGCTTATACAACACTAGAATCTATATTATTCAATGCATTATTAATAAATGATGTAAAACATGCTTCTGAGTTGCATTTTAAACAAAACATAAACGCAATAAATTCGAATTTGATCGCTTTCAAAAAAAAAATAAAGATTTTAATGTAATTTCAGGTACTATGCAAATGTATTCTCTATCGGATATATAAGAATCTGAAGATGGGGGCTAGGTCTCGTTACAACTTTAAGATATTCAATTAGTTTAGTATGAATTCATTTCAAAGACAATAGATTATGTTTTCTTAATATTGTGGATTGATAGAACTTAGACACTAACACCGTTGAATGTCACCTCAGTGGTCAACAAGTTAAGTGTTCATATGCGAAACCAAAGGTTCCTGGTTCGATTCCTGTCCGTGAATAAACACTATTGATGAGTCCGATACTAGGGCTAAACAGCCATCCAATGCTTCCAGGTTTCTAATGGTGGCTTAAAATTGATAAATTCATGATTTCAATAGAACTCCACAACCCTATTGTTTCTTTCTAAAGTTCAATTCTTATTGTATTCAACAACGGTTAATTTTAATAACAATGATTAGTAATTATGTTCAAGTTACTTTGTTGTCTCGATTCCAATACTTTCAGTGAGATTCGATAATGTTAAATTTATTACTATCATTATATGTTTTAGTGGAAATGTCATGATGTATGTTGATGTTGATGTTCGCATTATTATCTGTAAATATTTGTCCAGAAATAAGAAACTTCATTGTTCATCCTTACTAATAGGTTCATTTTAACCTGAAACATACATATATGGTAAGTTATCTAATCGATCAATAAATTACACATTATCTGCAAAATGATTTTATCCTATCAATGAAGAAGGGAAAAATCTATCAACCAATCAGTGAACGCGATGAAAATGAACAAATGCACACACAAACAGTGCAATTTTTTATCCATACTTTTTATTTCATGAATAATTATTTTCCAATCATTTTAAATTGACGTATGATATTATTTGTTTCTTATAACCAGTTAAAAATAGTAGAATCATATTAGTTCTACACTTATCCAACGGTAGTTCACAAGATCACATAATCATTCATTGTGTTCATTGTTCAATAAATAATCAAACGAATCTTTTTTGTGTGGCTGAGAAATGCGTTTATATTTAACTATATTTGCTTTATACACATCTGTAAGTTCAAATTATTATTATTTTTGTAAAAACTTTTATCATATTTTATTATGTATCATGATTTTGAATTGTTATTACTGGAATTTGAGTTATCTGCAATATTTTCACTGTTCAATAAGTAATACTTTAGACAATGAAAAATTAATCTATCAATGTTGGACCACCATTAGAAACCTGGAAGCACCGGACGGCCGTTTCGTCCTGGTATAGTAATCATAAGCAATACAAATCCACAACTTCTGCTAACCATAGGATTCATTCCAATGTCTTCGGTAAGCACTGATTCATACCCGAATGGAGTTGCGCAAGACCATGGATTGATCGAAGTTAGACATGAATACCGTCGAATGCCTGCTCAGTGTTCCAGAAGCTAAACTTTCTGGCCTAGGGTCGAAGATTCTCCGTTCGAATCCTGCGATTAGCAGGAATCGCAGGTGCGCACTACTGATGAGTCTTATACCAGGACGAAATGGCATTTCAGTGCTTCCAGGTTTCTTATAGTGGTCTAATATCGATTCATTCGTGATTTAAAAAGTAAAAATCAATCTCCACAACCCTCTACTGCCCGATAACCTGGATGAGAAACATAAATACAATTAAAATCTAAGGATTGAAATGTAATATCTATTGAAAATTATACTCGTTCACAAAATATACAAAATAATGTTTGACGTTCGTCAGTAAGACCCAATTATTGATCATTGAAAATGTTGTAAATAAGCTCCTACTCATACTAGTCAATCAAATATATTTTTTAAGAAAAACGTAATACTACCCGAAACGTGAGCTTTTTTAAATAAAATACTAGGTGTTAGGTTATAACAAACAACTCTTATTCATGAATTCGACATCAACCACGGTCTAAGTACTCATCAATATAATTTGATATAAACTAAATGAGTTAGTTAAAATTTTACAGATTTAAATGATATTTTGAGAGATTTGTAGAATTGGTAAAGAACAACAGTTAACGCATACTTTATGTCAACATGTATTCCTCAAATGCTCTAGTACAGCCAAATAATAGCTGTTTTATACTCTACTCATGTTTCTCGCCAGGTTTTTGTTTAAACGTTGACCATAATGTGGAATCTTTGAAAAGATGATGATTTTAATTGAACTAGATTTTTTATTTAGGCATTTAGAAATAAGGAAGAATAATAGTATTAAAATTTTTGAATCCTTTCCGTCATTTATTTTCACAAAGTATTAGTCCTACTTAATTCTAGATAGTAGTTAAGCAAAATATTATAAAATAAATAGTGAATTTAAAAATCCATTCCTGTTTTACAAGATAGTAAACTTGGAGATATGATAGTAATTTATAGAAACCATGAATCGATCAATATTAGACCATCATTGGAAGCCTGAAAGCACTAGACGGCCGTTCCGTCCCCGTATGGAACTAACCAGCAATCTAACGTTGATCGATTCATGATTTCAAAGAAACTCAACAATCTTCACAACCCTATACTGAAAATAATTAATAGATTAAAAGAAAGCTTATGATAAAAGGAGCATATATTTGATAGTCTAGTTACTTAATAAATATGTGATCATTGTAAACAAATAAGACCCAGGAAAAATGGTTTATGAAGTTTGTTACCTTCAGTTTACATTGTCCCTCGCAAAAGATTTATCAGTAGTAGAAGCTCTAGCAGTATTAGTGATAGTGGAAAAGATTAGTGATCGATGATATGATTTGAGAAAATATAAACGAGTAAAGTAGAGTTTCAGAAAGTTATGGCGAATCCTGAAGCTTAGCATTCGGTGGAAGACAAAGAACGGATGCACCTCTGCTATCACAAACGATTTCGAACCTTGTCATTCAAAGTCACTAAGCCCTGGTTACGAATGTCACGCAGACCGCAACCAGATAGTCTACACCTATTAATATGGTTTTGTTCACTCGACAATGACTTCTTGGATTTGTGTTCGTATTTTGATTTGGCCGACCTCAACAACAACACTCATCGAGGTAAGTGTTGGTTGAGTATACGTAACACGTGCCACATCCACTTTAGTTGATGAAGATTCACTGTTTCCCCTTTTCTTACCAATATACTATTCCTAACCCCATCATTGCTTACTCGATGGTCCTTAGAAATACGAGCAATGCTTCGAAGATACCTGTAATAGAATACTAATAACCTACGAATATCCTCTCTTCTCAATCAATATGTTTCAAAGTCAGTCCATCTAACTGCTAAAAGTGAACCACCATCCTAAAGAATCTCAGAAATTAATCCATTAGGTCCTGCCGCTTTCCCTTGCTTCAGATTGCCTACCCACTTTCCAACCTCACTACGAGTCAGATGCAATGAGTTTCTTAGTATTTATCAGCTTATGAAGAAGGTTGCGAAGCCTCCTACAAAATTTGTCTTTTACTTCGCCTATGCTCCGATCAGTGGGAGCATAAACAGAAACAACGAACAGGAAACAGCGTGTGCCTCCTTCTTTTCGAGTTCTTACTGCACCGTTTACTCGAACAGCCCACAGATGATCATATCTATCGGAATCTGATCTAGAAGAGCCTGTTCTGCATTTTAACTTAATGTTGTAACTACACCAGTGAAACCACAGAAAGTAACAGTGGGGTCTTTAGACATATGAAAGATAAATGGCATCGGTTCTTTATATTGACCAAATGATATTAGGTGAATGACTGTTCTCCTATTCTGAATGGGCGTTTCGGAGACGCAAAATACATCGATAGACCGAAATTCTAGAATTCTATCTATATGTTTTATCTGGCAAATAGTTAGAACATTGACAGCTCTCACATGAAGTTTGGAATGTAGTTTCAGGTGACTAGAAAAACATTTTGTGAACTTGAACCATTCGCATTAGGGGCATGGGTGATAAAATTATGTGAGAAGTGTCGGTCATATGGGTGATTGAGGGGTTTGATTATGAATATGATCTCGGACTCTGTTATAGGTATGAAGGAAGTTGTCGCTTTTCGATTGCCCACACTGTAGAAGGATATTTCTTCATGAGTAAAATGTAAAGGAAGATGAGTCGGTGTTGGCCTTAGTGAACTGTCAGTGAGAACGCATAGCTCAAGGAACAACTATGTGATGACGGTCATGGCCTTCTTATGGAAAGTTTTGAATGTGTTTGCAGATATCTCTCAGACAATACAGCTCGGTTGAGTTATCACGATAGACGAGCCTGACTACATGTCCTGGTAACAACAATAGTTGTAAGGTCATTTAAAGATCGAGTTGAAATAAAAATATACAATACAAATACAAGCCAAACATTAATAATAATCATAATTATAATAATAATAAGAAGATTATTTATCCAGCAGCAAGTTTTGTGACGCTCACTGGAACGAACTACTAACTCAAACAAACTGAATTCAAAAAGTTCTCATTTTTTAATACCTTTGAATTTCAAATTATTCTGCTTCAGTTATTTTTCAGGCCCTATTCTTAGCATTATTCAATGAAGGTTCTATAATTATTTTATACGTAATGAATATTTATGAACTCAGTGAAGTCCGATCTCTGTCCCGTCGGACATAGTTACATAGTTACGATTGGATGCTGACCCAGTAGTCTAAAGACTAAGCGTTCACATACGAGGCAGGCCCTGGGTTCGATTCCCAAGCACCGGGTTGTGTATGTACGCTGCTCAGGAGTCTGATACTAAGACAGAATAGTTGGTTATCTTGACCATAAGCAATCAAATTTACATTATCTATATGGCATACATATCATGAATCCAATGACCTTAACGTCGAAACAACAATCTAATAGATTTTGAAGTGGCTGTGTGCCTACTGATGAGAAATTTAATTGAAAGGTTCAGTTTTTTAAGGATAATTTACCAATGAACACTGTAATATTGTATCAAACAGGTAAAAGACATTTTAGCTGTGTATACCAATCACATTACTAGATGTGGAAACAAAGTTTCTCAAATTTCACAGGACTACTGTGCAGGGTGATCCGATTTTACCATGTTATTTTTATCTTTCAAAAGCCTTAAGGAGGGTTGCTGTTATTTTATGAATGTAAAATTGCGACACCGAGGCAATTCGTATACGATTTTAGTATTCTAACTAAATATAAAATAAGGCTTTCAATTTACATCCTGAGAAGATAAAAATTTAATTCATTGTTATCTGTTGAGATAATTTCCAATCAACAAGTTAGTTTGAAACTGAACAAACCAGCAGCATTTCTTATATTCAACACACAATCTTTTTTTCATCAAATGAATAAAAATCCAATGGTTTGCATTGTCGAATTCAGTTAGTTTATGATCTAACATAATAATCTTTTATTGTTACGTTACCCCTAGTGGAGCATAGGTGACCTACCATTTTACATCTTCCCCTTTGACCTTGAGTATTCCAAGTGAAAACTTGCCTTGTGACACAGTTGGATGATGTCCGCAATGCCTGATCTATCCACCTCTAGCGTTATTTTCCAACTTCTTCCCCAAAAGGGATCTAGTTTGTTCTCTTCCAGAATAGGTTGATGGTTATGGTATCTTGGCTAAAGGATCAGAAGTATCTCTAGTTAATAAACACTTGCATCCTTTGGTTGATTGCTTTAACAGCATGCCTATCGAACAGTAACTCAACAAAAAAAAAGTTAGAGCAAAACTTAACATGCTTGAAACGTAATACCCTTTAGCCAATATTATTGTAGTTTAAGTATATCATCTTTCCTCATCATTGAACCAGAAAAATATTTATACTTGGAATAGGGATTACCTGAAATATAAAATTTAAGAAAGTTTAAACTAGAAGTTAGCTTTCGATGTTTAATTGAAATTGTTTAACTACTTATGAGTAGTGTAAAAATAATCTTATAAATTTCGAAATCTGGAAGAAAATATTTAAAATTCTGATGAGAATTTTGTTTAACATTATAAAAAGGTTACTTGAGTCAGAAGATTTGGCAGAATTTATATTTCAGTTATTTTCTTTCTAATTAATCTTCCTGTAGATATTTTTCATTCTCAACATCAATATAACTTAATATAGATTTCATATAACAAGTTTGGATTTGACGATTTCGAATAGATCAAGCATTGAATAAATTGTTAATAATAATAATAATAATAATAATAATAATAATAATAATAATTAACCATTTGTAATATCCTAATTACATTAAGAAATCAAAACTTTTCTTGAAGTTTTTTTGGGACTTCTTTTCAGTCACGTTTAGTTTATTTATTTTGACAAGTTTTCCGCAATGACATTGATTTTAGATAAGTCATCATTTAGGAGCTTGAACTATTGAACTGCCATTTCGCTCTATAGTATAGGACTTCTCATCAGTACATATCCATGTTGCCTGCGCTCTGGAATCGGACTCAGGAGCTTAAATCTCTCACACAAAAGCTTAACCTTATAACCACTGAGTCAGCAACCAATGATATGAATGCCCAACTTCACTCATTCCGCAATACAGAAGTTAAAAGCTCATGCTCAAAATCGAAGGTTCTGAGTTCATTTCCTGTGTTCAGGGGTCGTCGGTGTGAACTTGTGAAAAGTATCATCTTGGGACGAATCAGTCATCCAGTAATTTCAAGTTTTCATTAATGATCTAGTTATCGTTAGTTCATGATTTCAACTATGAAAGCAGTACAATGTTCACAAATCCCCTTCATCAATTTTCACTGTATTTTATTAAACAGTAACTAAGACCAAATAAAACCCCATTAATTTAGATTCAATCTCTGTAGCCCTGATATAATATACATGGGTAATTAACTTGATAAATGCTGAATTTCACTGAAATCACAAACTTATCAATGTTAGACCACCATTAAATACCTCAAAGTGCTGGCCGGCCAATTTGTCCTAGTATGGGACTCATTAGCAGTGCGCATGCTCGAAGTCGTGAACAATGGAGTTCAGTCCTGTCGAGTGTGAATCAGTGCCCATCAAAGACACTGGATGAGGTTAAACAAGACGATGGATTGATCACAGTTATAGATTAACACCGTTGGATACCGGTCTAACGGTCTAGAGTTTAAGCGTTCATGCTCAAGGCCTAAGTTCCTGGATTCGAACCCTGGGAGCAGTGGGAGTCGTGGATGCGCACTGCCGATTAGTCCTACGCCAGGACGAAACGGCATTCCACTGCTTCCAGGTTTCTAACGGTAGACCAACATTGATCGATTCATGATTTCTAAAGTAACTCAACAGTATCCACAACCCTTTAATATAAAATAAAATTAGAATGAAATCTATACTCAATAAATGTGGCAATTGAAACAGATTTGCCTGCTGAATTGAACCGAAGCTATTTAACTTTCCTACACAGCAAGTATTAATGCCCGCACAACACTAAACTTGTTGATTTATCGTGTCAAGTGTGAATTTTCATTTTCTATTCAAAATTTTATTGAAATTAAATTTTTTTATTGATCACAAGTTTTGTAAACTGTTCTTTTTTGTATTACTTTCAGTATCTTGTACTTGCTCAAGAAGATTATGTAAGTTTGGAATGCATGTACATTCTATAACTGTTTTGATAAACTCACAAGAATCCACCTTTCATTTCTATTTGTAAAACATACTTCAGTCACTAAATCTCATAATCTTAGTCAGTATTTATGCTTGTGTCTATATCAATTCGAATTTTATGCACAAAACCTAAGATTTATCATAGTTAGACATAACACTGTTGGATGCCGGCCAGCTTAGTGATCCAGAGGTTGAGAGTTCGTGCTCAGGACCGAAGGTCTTGGGTGCGATTCCTGCGAGTAGCAGGAGTCTTAGACGAGCACCACTGATGAGTCCCATAGTGAGACGAAACGGCCATCCAGTGCTCTCAGGTTTCTAATGGTGTTCTAGCGATGTCAATAATATTAATAAGTAGTTGTTTCTTCTCATAATTTGTTTCAGTCTGCGAGAATATTTTTGCTCTGTCTGCTGTCATGTTATTTGTGAAAGTTTTGAATAGGTTCAACGATTAACTGGTTTCGAATATATTCAGTGTTATTATTTATATTGATCTTTGGTTTCATATCTGACCTGTAGCTGAACGAATTGCCATTTAACATTAATGCATGGAAGAAAGCGAAAACGAGGGAGAATGAGAAATGACACCAGTTAGCACTGTTCATTTCGATTATGAGTTCTTAATTTTACAGTTTTTTCCAAGAGTTGGCTTTCGTCTTATTTATGAGATAAACACTAGAATTACACTAGACTCGAAGTTAGAAACAAGACTTAAAGATCCTAGGTTCCCTCTAGATAGGATCATAGCTGGATGCTACTGATGAGTCCTGAATTAAGCTGAAACGGTTATTGTGTTTCCGGCTACCCTGATAATTGTGACAGCCAGATAATTGTTGAACAGCCTAAATCATTGAGAAATTATCAATCCTGGCAGATTTTAAAAATCTAACAATCCATGTTACCTGAAATTGAAATAAAATAATAAGTCTAGGGATTTGAAAGAAGCTTAGGTTTAGGAGTTTATTTCTTTCAAATAACTATTGAAATTCTAAAGGTTTATACAAAATAATGAATAATAGCCATTTTATCAGTCAACGTAGAGAATATAAATGAGTTAGTTTCTAGAATTTTCTCTGAGAACTATTTTTTGCATATACTGATTGATTAAGTACAAACAATCAAACGATTTTTTAAATAACTAACAAAATATTTGTACTGAATTGACTCTCTATTTTTTAAACAAAAATTTCACACTACTATCAAAAGATATAAGTAATCACGATAAAAAAGCAAAAACAGCGTCCTCTGCATGTGGTGATATTGGTAAGGATAAATGGAAGGATAAGATAGCTTGACAGAATGTAAACACTTGTACTGACACGTTTATCAATCTAGTTACTGTTTCAGTTTCTATTATCAAAAACATCTTGACTGTATGTATGTGCGTGTTGGTGAATGACCATGATAAACGATAAAATCAGACGATTAAACGTAGTTCCTTAAAATGTACTATACAGATTCTTAAATAAAACAGCCTCACAGCAAGATATCATAATGTATCACATGACAGATTTGTTTACATGTCCAAATTTATTTTTATGCTAATTTTTTTTACTGAATAATATACTGAAAGTTTAATCATGTTCAGTTAAGACTAAAAGTGTTTATCTTTCTTACTGTTTGAGTAAATACAACCGATTGTGATTATTTATTAATGTTTATGTGTTTATTAAAGTTTCGAATATGAATAAGATGAAGGAGTAGAGTAAAATAAACAATATCAGAAACTGTAACGTCTCCATCTGTCTTAAAATAAAATATTTATACACTTTTTCGGTTGTCGTATAAATTACAGTTGACAGATAAATCATTGTAAGGCACATCATCAAGCAGATATGTAGATTCGTTTTCAGATTGATTTTTCTTAAACACGAAAGAATAATTATCATGTTATTTAGAGTGACAACAAATGTTATACTTTTCAAAAATTTAAAACAATTTCTCCCTTTTACAAATTTCGATAAAACAGTGAGAAGATGTAATTGATCGGAAAAATATTGTGATGTATTTGCGCGCTATACACATTTCGAACAATCTGGTCACACACATATTTACTTGTCAAGGCATTTTATATGAAGATGAATAAAAAGTCAATTAAATAAAAGTTCAAATAGACATAAGGTGATAATTTGACGTAATATGAAAAGAATAAGAAATGGTAGGAAAACTATCACATTACCCTTGACTTAAAGATTACCGGGATAAATTCAAGGTTATGACAAATTGTTTCTGCACACATAAGGGGAGTTTTAATTTACGAATAGCCAATGCTTCCATAAACCTCAAAATTCGTCCTTCAACATTTCTATACAATGTTTTGATGTCTGTCTTAATGTCAATCTTATGCCCTGTCGCAATTATGTGTTTTGCGATCGATGAAAATGGTTTTCTGTTTATCATCTCATCTAAATTTGAAGCGACTTAGGAACAGGTTTCATAACCCTTGATTGTAAACTCTGATTACTCCTCCCTGTGTATGTGTGTCCACACAAATATGTAAATTGATAAATCCAACTGGATGTCTCCTTTTTAGAAATTCAAAACAGTGTTTCCCTTTGATAAATTTGAATAGAGAAATGAGAAGACATATTTTGTGAGATAGTACCATTTCGTGCTTTCTCGTCAGTCACATACAAGCAACATGTTATTTGTGTAAAAACGGTTTTGAAAATAAGGTCAAAATTTCTTATTTAGCATGACATTCACTCCCTAGAACCATGGTAAACAAAGGTCAACATACAGTTGTTTTTAAACGCATAAAGTTGGACTTTCCCGACCAATCAAGATAGCTTCGAGTAGTTTCAGTGTGTGTGTGGGTTTTGACTACATGTCACAACTCTAAAGGCTGATTTTGGGTCAATTTGATGACCACTCATCATTAGATGTTTTGCAATAGACGAGGCTGGGTTTCTCGATCGATTTTGAGATGACTGTATTTACACAAATAACATGTTGCTTGTATGTGACTGACGAGAAAGCACGAAATGGTACTATCTCATAAAATATGTCTTCTCATTTCTCTATCCAACTGGATGTGATATAATCATCATCGGCGTCAACAATTACGACCAACAAACACATAGACATTGACACGATTCATCAACCAATCAAAAAAATCGTAGATCATCACAGGATCAAGAACCAGATCAAAGTAGCATACAAAGAAAATAAAGAGGCAGACGATGACAGATTAAAGATTAACAACGTCCAATTACGACTGAGATCAACAGGACAATCTACTAGTCATAAGTGAAGAAATTCAAATATTTCACCTCTTCACACTATTCGCAGCTGGTTTCGATTTTCAGATTCTCTGAATCTAAGCGTTGCATGATTTCCGATGGTTGTTTATTAATAAATATTCTTATTAAAAGTAAGCGCATTTTATGCTCTGATCACAATCAAACGAAATAAAATGAATTCTGCTCCACTTTTGTGTTCTCGTTATCTTCAATAACTTATCTTTTATGATATGTCCTCAAAGATGAAGACATTAACTGTCTGTTCTGTTCTTACAATGAATAAACCTTGACATTTACATGTAAACTAGTAGACATAATTGAAGGTAACATAAAGCAGGAATTAGTTCGCGCGAGAGACTGATGGGCTGGGTTCGATTCCGGCAAGCAGAGATCGTGGATGCACATTGACGATGAGTCCCATATTGGGACGAAAAGGCAGTCTAAGGCATCTGAGTCTCTTATAGAGTGGTCTAACAATGATCAATTCATAATCTCTTAACGGTCGGTTGTTGAGTAATAATTAAAATTTTCGCCGTACCAAAATTCTTAATATGAAGATAAATTTTTACTGGCATGTGTTTTTTGTTTACATTAAAATAAATGGAACAAAGTAAGATTTAAAAATTGATTCGTTTGTAATTTTCCCATCGATAGTTATCGAGCGATTCAATTGATAAGTCACTTTTGACATTTCTGTAGCCTATGTTAATTGCCTCAAAGTTAATTTTCGGTTATGAGAATTATCAGCATGAGTGGATAATGTCCACAAATGGAATGCGGGACGTGTGTTTCTGTTATGCTCGTCAACTGATATGCTTGAACTATTAAGAGTTCACCTTGGTCGGTAAATGAGAGCGAAGAAAAATGATCGAGTGACATGATAGGCTACTCTAATCCAAGTGTCCCGAGGCCCCACTAAGTAGAGGAAAAAGTCTTGATATGGCATAGAAAGTGTATTCTACAAGCACTCAGAAAAATGATGTTTCCAAGCATAAATCAAGTTTATTTATACACGTCCTTGGGAGAGCCATAAAAATAAAATAATTCATCAACCGATAACAGCCAAGGATTTTCCGGATGGGAAATGTAGTCTCAAGGTCAAATGATGAGCCCTGGCACGGAAACATAAAATCAAAACTACAGCCTTTATCAAGTGAGTAGTGGGGATCTAACATCCCCAACAGTTTCATCCTATTTGGAACTCTCCTTTAGATGGATGTACCTGCATCTCAAAGATAATGACTACTCTGAGACTCAAACCTAGTACGTTTCACTTCAAATGCCACTGCATTATCAAATTAGCTATTGACCCACTAGCTAGCTCATATAATGAAATGAATTTTAATTCATTCGTACTGGTTGTTTGAAACCTTCCAATGATGTTTAGGACTGCAATTGATTGGAGTTTGTGCATTCTGTACGCAGTGCCTCAATCACGAAACACAGTTATTACCTGGATATTTCAATGTTAACCACTATCCTTCTCTACTAATAATTTATATGTTGATTTTATGAAGTTGTCTTTTTCGTTAATTTTTTTCCCAGACTAAACCTGATGATGAATCGGATGAAGGTGAGATAAATTTTGTTTTATTTGATATTTTCTATCGATAGTTATAAGTGAATTATGTTGTACACAATGTCATGCTCTTAAGATTATTATTAATATCCCCAATGGAGCATAGGCCACCGACCAACATTCTCCAACCTACTCTGTCCTGAGCCTTTTTGTCCAGTTCACTTCAATTTTTGTTCATTCTTCTCGTGTCTGTCTCTACTATTCAGCGAAATGTGTTCCTTGGAATTTCTCTTCCCCTCTAACCTAGAAGATCCCAGGTGATGACTTGTCTCGTGATGCAGTCTGGTGGTTTTCTTGAGTGTGTGTCCTATCCTCCTACAGAGTTTCTTCCTGATGTCTTCCTCTGCTGAAATCTAGTTTGTGCTGTCCAACAGTAGGTTGCTGCTGATAGTGACTGACTAACAGATACGAATTATTTTGCACAGACAACTGTTAATAGACACTTGTATCTTCTGGATGATGGTTTGTTAGTATACCAAGTTTCCGCTTGATACTGGAGAACTGTCTTGACATTTGTATTGAAAATTATGAATTTAGAGTTGTTTGATAGCTGTTTTATGCTCCAAATATTCTTCAGTTGTAGGATAGTTACCCTTGTTTAGCCGATCTGTGCCTTCACATCTGCACCAGATCCACCTTGCTTGTCAATGGTGCTGTCTAGATATGTAAACGTTTGTATAACTTCGAAAGCTTCACCGTCAATTGTGATTTGGTTGGTGCATGTTGTGTCATATCGGAGAATCGTGCCTTTCCCTCTGCTTTTGTTGAGACCAGTTTCTGAGGCTGGTGCTACACTTGTAGCCTTCTCTGGAATTTGTTAGTGTGTGTGTGTGTGTGTGCGATCATCTATGAAGTTTAGATTGTCCACCTGCATCTTAGCTGTCCATTGTAACCCGTGCTTTCATCTACATTGGATATCATCAAATTTTAATTACTCATCTTGTATAAATCACATTAGATTGTGATTGATTCTATAAAGTTATAAGTAGTTTTGATTATGAAGAAAACTTTATTGGGCAAAAACAGCCTCATAAGTATGGTAGATTACATATTATTTTGATAAATATTCTATTCACTAACACAATTAAAAACTATTTAGAATATATATATATATATATATATATATATATATATATATATATATATATATATATATATGTATATATATATATATATATATATAGTGTCCTGGTTAACGCTTTTTGGCAAGTTGATTTTATACGGGATGGAGTTGCTGACTCTATACTCAACCGTCCTCCTTTATCAGGTCTCAGGACCAGCAGTAACCTTACAGCGGCTACTAGGTGGAGTTATGTTTGTTGAATGAGTTTTCATAAATTATGAAGTTATTGAATAGTCGGTGAATATAAATGCATATTGACACTCTTGTACGTGGGGAAAAGGGATTATAGATTTACCAGACTGTTTATTGGCTATTTCTAGGCGAAGTGATCATTGAACTATAATCGATATCATTTTCGTCCAGTCCCGAGTATTGTTCGAAATCTGTTAACCAAATTCCTGTATAGCCACAAGATGAAATAACTCAGTATTGTAAATTGTTTGATGTGAGTTAATTAAAAACAGTCAGTAAGAAAAGTCACATATAAATTGCAGAGCATTTAGTCATCGTTAATAAAGAATATTCTGAATGACTCAGCAACAGATGTTTGCTGTTGGACTCGAAGTCACCAATGAGATTCAACAGGTCAGTTGTGATCCGAATGGTAAAGTTTCTAATTGAGAAACTTATTGATTCAAATCCTAAGAGTGGCGTTCTTTTCACTAAGATTACAAATACTTTTCTGCTGTTACTTGTATGCAAACTGATTGCTGGAGACCCTCTGGCTGTGTTTTTCAACTAATTTACAATCTTCAGAATTAACGGTCTAGCAATAAAACATGTTGGTTACATTGTACCATTTCACTGAGTTACATCGGTTTCAATCTCTATTTCATGTCACTGAATTAAAGTATTTAGACTGATAAATCGTTTAGGGGGAACTGAACAGATGTTTTATGCCAATTCAAGACTTCTTATGTGGTATTAGACGCCTACGAATATTCATGATATCGTTAGAACTTTCAACTTTAGCTTCTTAACAGAATTGCGTAATCAACATCCAGTTGTAGTGAACGAAAACACAGGTGGGCCAACCGGATTGTATTTAACGAAAATTACAGAGTTACTCAGTAAAATCGGAAAACCATATCGTAAATCGTTAATTTGCAAAATATCAGTTCATCATATCGAACTGGACTGTTCCTGTTGCAAAACATCAATCCATTGTCACTATTCATGCGTTTCATACAAATTCCATTTGGTGTTCTAACTCTTCCTTTCTTGATCTTCGTCCATCTTCTGCTGCCAGACATTACGTTGACACTCATGTCATATACTACTTATAAGTAGCTCGCACCACACAGTGACACTTAAAGCTTGTCTCACTTCCTCACATTCTTTATCTCTACTGATCACATCTACCTTTCATGTTAATATCAACCAATACAACCATATCATATATTGCTTTATGGTATTAGGTAGATCGTTGTTTTACCTTGAAATTATGAATAAATCACTGTGAGATCACATTTAGAAACTTAAATGCACTGGATGACTATTTCGTTCTGGTATGGGATTCATCAGCAATGAGCATTGACGAGGTTGCGCAAAATCCTCAGATTGATCAGAGTTAGATATTAACACAATTGGATGCCAGCCAGTTCACAAGGTCCAGCAGTTAAGCATTCTTAATTTGACCATGATATGATTCATCATTATTGTGTCAAAGTAGATAGATACTAAGGCATAATTTGATTATCGAATCTCAATTTAATTTATTCATTTTTCTACTCCATATATATACAATTAACGATCAATCAATCGATCGATCGACTAACTAACTAACCAACTAACTGATTGATTGATTGGCTGGCTGGTTATAGATCCATGTGAAAATGTCAAATGTAAATTGGGTGAAATATGCAAAGAAGGTAAATGTAATTGTTTGGATAGTTGTCCGTCAGAATGGAATAGTTATAATCGACAAGTAAGTATATGAATATGGTTTTGAAAATATTTTTTTTTCATGTATACTGGTTATTTATTGATTTTAGCTGTCAGTCAGATGCAACGTAGAACTTGGTACGTAAGTACATCAGTTCATGTTGCCATACCACATCAGCACAGAGATATAACTGTCAATTCAAATCCAATAGTAGTAGAGGTAGTAAAGGTATTAGAAGTAATCGGAGAGGTTAGGGTTAGAAGATACTATTCAAGAAGCATGATTCAGTGAGAAAAGTTTAGAGAGTCGAAACTAGAGGTGTTGAAGAATCCAGTCGGGAGTTATTTTTCGGTTGTGTTGAATAGTTTAATTATGAAGTTTACAATGTTCTTTTAAAGAGAAAAATCATCAGTGTTTATTTCACGCGGAAGTAACATAACACAGTACATCTGTATAAGTAAACGCTGATAATTTTTTTCCAAAAGGTTTGTAAATTAAATTACTCATTACAGATACTACACATGATCTTAGCTCAGAGAGCCGAGAAGCCGCCTGTTAGACCCTAATGGGGCATAGGCAACCGACTAGTGAATTATTTTTCTGGTTAGAGTTTTTTTAGCGAATTGGATTTTTATGGGATGGGGTCGTTAACCACATGCTCAACCATCCTCCTTTGTTAGGGTTTGAGATCGGCATTAACTGGAGAAGTGATCCAGATGGAGAGTTCCAGAGAACACAACGTCACTCAAAATGCACATTTTAGGCATAAATATTGTCCGTTGTATTAGAATTTTATAGGCGCAGCGCACAAAATAATGTTTGCATAAACATTTTATTTCATTCAAGAAATATTGATGAACTTAGACCAAATAAATTATCCTTCATTCCAGCTAGTTGAACTGAATATTCATCATTTTTCCATTGGCATTAGTTAAGACAGATCACTAAGTTTTGTATTCAACACAATAATGAGATATTCGTCTCTGTTATCATTTAACGGTGTCTCAGATTGGAAAGAGATACATGCTAACCTCGCTTATTGACTATCTGAGAGAGGATACAAAACTGGACGACAAGGTCTATGTGAATACCGAGTCATATTGCATTATGTGTACAAATATGTCAAGCCCTTAGGGCTTGCTCCAGCTTTTGGAAAAATTAACTAATGCATTCCTCTCGAGTTATTATTTACATGTCTTTCGATTTTGTCAATTATTCTTTTATTTGTAACCATGGTTCGATCAATGTTAGACCACCATTAGAAACCTGGAAGCACTGAACGGCCGTTTCGTCCTGGTATGGGACTCATCAGCAGCGCAGGAGTCGTGGATGCGCACTGCTGATGAGTCCCATACCAGGACGAAACGGCCGTTCAGTGCTTCCAGGTTTCTAATGGTGGTCTAACATTGATCGAACCATGGTTACAAACAAAACTTAACACTTTTTTTTACATGGGTGTGTATGTGTGTACTGTTTACTCCGCGTATTATATGTCTAGCTTATTTTATCTGACCGCAAATACTTAGTCATGCTTCCTCGCATTGAGTTGGCTCTTTTACTTTTTCCACCTCTGTTCGCTTTGCTTTCACATTTTGTATTCTCATCTGTGTCTTCATGAACGGTTGCTTGAAATAAACTCATCCAACCGAATCCGCATTTTGGCTTCTTATTACCGCGGTCGCACAAACGAAGTCCGCCTAAGTGTGATATTCAGAAATTGAAAGGAAGATTTATTTCATAGCACATTCCGCCGTTCGTTAAAAATGCAGTCACATTATGGGCCACTAAAGTGGTGAACCCAACGTCAGAATGAACACAGCCACTGAAATATACGTAGATATATGCATATTCTTCCTCCTTAGAAGATGCGTCAAATTTTTTTTAACCTTTAGAACATTCCTGATGGTCATCAAACTTCTCTCTATCTTATTTAGTCACTTCTTATTGCCCCTTCAAGAAGCGTCTTTAAATGGTTCGATTTGAAACATTAATAATTACGTATTATGATTAGAAATTCAATGTCCATGTCACTGTTTTCTTGATCATAAAACTCATACTTCCAATCTAAGCAAATCGATCTTTCGATAACTTTCACTATAACCTAAGCTTGTTAGAATTAATTACTTTATCATTCACCCTGTATTGGTTATTTCAACTTTTCTTCAATGATTACTAAATCTCTTAAATGATTTTCATGCCATCATGCATAGAAATAATACTTTTAATTTGATAATATTTCATGCTTTATCATTTCAAAATTTTTTTAGTTATGCGTCGATGGTGTGACATATCGACATGAATGTGATCTATGGAGAAATCAGTGTTATTGTCGATCAGGTGATTCAAGATGTGGCAGTGATCAATTTAGTAATCATAGAGCAAATGAAAATTCTGCAATAAAATATTATGATGAATGTCGTGGTACGGTAATAATGTTTTATATTGATAAAATATCTTAATTTCATTTGGTTAAAGTTAAACCTTAGAATTAAGCAATTTAAAATAAAGGATACTGCACTTTGAGTGATTAGTTTTAATGGAAGCAACCTACCTTGAAAGTATTTTTCAAAGTGGTAAAACTAGGAAACTTTTTCTCTTTGAGTAATCAATAATGATTAATTGGATTGGTTTGTATGTAACGTCATTTATATTGCTCTGGCTAATCGATTGCGTAAAAATTCACTGAGTATTTACTTCTTACTCATGCCTGTTATACTTCATGAAGCTCAGGCTATCAACCAGCATTCTCTAACCTACTCTGCCTTTGCCTCTCCCTTCCATTTGTTTCCTAGTGAGGGCTAGTCTTATGAAGTAGTTGAATGGTTTACTCAATGTGTCCTATCCACCTCCAGCGCTTTTTCTGATTTCTTCATCAGCTGAAATCTTATATGTTCTCTGTCTTACGGTTTGTTGCTGATGGTATCTAGTCAACAAAGCCGCAGTATCCTACAAAGACAACTGTTAATAAATACCTATATCTTTTGGATGAAGGCTTTTGTTGTTCTGCAAGCATCCACTCCATACAATAGAACTGTCTTGATGTTCACACTGATAATTGTGACTTTGGCGTTAGTTGAAAGTTGTTTTGAGTTTCAAATGTTCGTTTCATACTAACTATTGTACTAATTCACTCACTTATAATGAAATTATGTTTGTGTGTGTATAAATATGGTTTGTTTGTGAATCAAATGTATACACATAGAGCTATATCATATTTTAGGAAAAAAACTCTCAAGACACTCATGAAATGTTTATATCCATTTCTAAAGATAGAATATTGAAGAAGATATCACGTTTCAAATGAGTCAGTTATTTTAAAAAGGGTCAGAAATACTGTAAGTATCATGTAAGACCAGGATAAACGTTAACATTCTGTGCTGATAAAAACATTGAGTATCTTTTTTTGATATCTTTATGACTGATGATAAAACTGAACTTGGAAAATTCAGTTTCGAATAAAGATCGTTGCTTACGTACTTATTTACGCCTGTTGCCCCCAATGGAGCATAGACCGTCGACCAGCATTTCCAACCTGGGCCTTTCTTTCTAGTTCGGCCCAGTTTTTCTTCATTATTCTCATGTCTGTCTCCATTATTCAGCGAAATGTGTTCCTTGGAATTTCTCTTCCCTTTTAGCCTAGAAGATTCCAGGTGATGACTTGTCTCGTGATGCAGTCTGATGGTGACGCTATCCGGTGGTTTTCATCAATATCCACCTATCCACCTGCAGAGCTTCTTCCTGATGTCTTCCTCTGCTGGAATCTAGTTTGTTCTGTCCCACAGTAGGTTGTTGCTGATGATGACTAGCCAACGAATCCGAATTATTTTGCATAGACAACTGTTAATGAACTCCTGTATCTTCTGGATGATGGTTTGTTAGTACACCAAGTTTTCACTCGATACAGTAGAACTGTCTTGACATTTGTATTGAAGATTGTGACTTTGGAGTTGGTTGATAGTTGTTTTATGTTCCTCATGTTCTTCGGGATGATTGCTTTCGTAAGTCTCCAAGTTTCCACCTCATACGAATAAGGATCGTACGAGAAATTAAAAGAAGAAACATCTGAAAAGCATTACTGCTAAAATCTTTAAGAATGTTTTGAACAACAGGAACAAGGATCAGAAACGTGTGCATTAGAATATCTATTCATATATGATTAACTGTCAAACTAATAATCATTTCCAATTCACATTCCGTGAAGCAATTTTTTAAAATGATCCAGAATAATTTTTCAGTATATGCACATATTCTGGACTATATGTTAAGTTGAATAAACCTTTGGTTAGGCAAATTTACTTTACATTTCACAACCTCGCATGAATTTATACCGTCAATCGTAATTTGTCGTTATTAACCTTTTATCTGTCATTGTCTGCCTGTTTATTTTGATTGTATCTCACTTTGATTTGGTTCATAATCTTATGATTGTCTACGATATTTTCGATTGGTTGATGAATCGGGTCAATGTCTATGTGTTTGTTGATTGTCGGTTGACCTGAGTGCCAAGTGCCTAAAAATTCTCTGGTGTTCTTTGTATTCCCTCTATCCGGTATTTTAATATTTTTCTAATCCAGTGTCTGTCCACAATTGTCCACATGTATTGAAATGTCATGGTGTTTGAATGCTAATTGATGTTGATGTAGGCGAAACTTGGAGGGGGGTCGTCCACTTTTTTCCCATGTAGTGTTTTCCGCAGTTAGAACGGTTTATACTGTAGATGATTTTCAGTTTTTATTCTTGTGTCATTTTGTCCTTTGGTTTAAATAGGATTGCTGGAAGTGATTTTGTTTGTTTATGCGCTCCGCCTATTCTAAACGGCTTCGGTAATCTTGCTGAAATTTCTAATATGACTTTTGTATATGGAAGGGTGATCCGTTTGTTGGTTGGTTCCTGTGCTTGATTTCTCTCCTGTTGGACTGTTTCAGTTGATATTCTTTTTTGATGATCTTGCTTGGATAGTGGTTCTTTTGCAAGATAGTCATTAGATATTTTTTTCTTGGTATTTTTATGCTACATGTGTGCTGCAGTGTGTTTTCACTCTCTTGAAAAAAGTTTGTATGCAATTGATTTTGTCTGTTACTGTGGTTGAAAATTAGATCTGGTTTGGTTTCCGATATGCTTGAGTTTCTAGTTTCCCTGTGTCATCAGTTCTGGTGATCAATACATCCAGGAATGATAGTTTTGTCATTCATCATCTGTATCTTTGTTTGGTCAGTCAATATTCATATTTCAAAAATTCCAAATCAATTTGATTTTTTTAAAAAAATCATATTAAAATATTGATGAATAAATCAATGTGAAACATTGATCAACAGTTAAAAGTATTTTATCATATGTGATGAATATTTTTTTTGTTCTATTTGTCAAAAAACACGACGAACTTATCGTCTCGTTTTGTTTGGCTTTTAATTTTTTCGTTTTCAATAATTCTGCATCATTTGAAATAGTCAATGAACAATTTCTAATCAATAATTGATTAGATTAGAGTAAACTATTTGTCTGTCAGAGAAGTTAGAAATTCAAAAAAATAAACCGATAGAACTCTTTCACAATAAATCAATTTACATCAAATGATGACATACTTGTCTAGTCTTTAGTTTTTTTTCATTATGGAGTTATGGAGATTGTTGTTTAATTGTTGAAATAGTGAATTAACCACTGTTAGACCACTATTATAAACCTGGAAGCCCAGAACGACCGTTTCGTCCTGGTATAGGACTCATCAGCAGTGCGCATTCACGTCTCCTGCTTCTCGCGGGATTCGAACCCAGGGCCTTTAGTCTTGGGCGAACGCCGAACCTTTGAACCACTGAGGTGGATGGCATTCATGGCATTGATATTGTCCTAATCCAACCAACCGAAGGATTTTTCGTAACTCTGCTTACACCCGGCAGAGTTGGACTACACTGGTCACATTTTCTCACTAGGACTCTGAGAATTTCCACACGAAGCTAGTCACTAGTGAGCAGATTGTGAGCTGAAGGTTTCTTGTGAGAACAGAGGTTCATCGTGAACAATGCCGATGGCTTGGCATTACTTTGCCACGTATTGTTAATAGTCCATGTATAAATTTGGTTAGCAGGGTAACCGATTTCACTGATACTGGAGGTCGTCTTGAAATACTCCCGAAGGCCATTGTCACTGGGGTGCTGTATTGCATCTCACTATTGCTAATAATAATGAGTTTGACAGTCATGTAAGCAGAATGAGTCAAATTTGCCTGTTCATGTTGGGGATATTGACTGACGCAATCATGGATCGTAAATAATCAATATATATGTACTAGTACATATAAGTGGTGTGAATGCTCCACCAGGGTATCTGATACCTCTGTGGATGCACCACGGGAATGAGCCGAATTGTTCACGTTGAAGTGTTAACACGTGAGCAGTCTACTTGGTTCTCCTGTAAACCAATGTAAAATTAGCCTTGTCAGTTGAGGTTAATTTGTATGATAAAAATGCGACTCACCAGTGATTAGCTTAGTGAGGAAATCCTCAGAGTTCTAGTGTGTAGATGAGACCAGTAGAGTTCAGTCCTGCCAGGTGTAGGCAGTTTCCTACAGAAGACAATGGATGAAGTTGCAAAATATCACGGAATGACTTAAGTTACATAATGACACAGTTGGATCCCGACTTAGTGACCTAGAAGTTAGGCGTTCGGGGATGTGACTGAAGGTCCTGTGTCCGATTCCCGCTCACAAGGGTTGTGAATGCACACTGCCGAATACTGTGATACTAGGATGAAACGGCCATCCAGTGACTCCAGGTTTCTAATAGTGATTTAACAACGATCGATTAATCAATTCAGTCAAAACTGTTATGGTTTCTCAGATCACATTAAGTGGCACAAAATTGAGACAAAAGCGACTTGACTAAGTGGCAAAAATCGTATATCTAGGTTAGCGCAATTTCAGTAAACTATAAAGTCAGTGAAATCATCTGACAAAAGAATGTTAGTTGAATGTATGAAACTAAACGAAACCGAAGTTACTATTTACTCATATGAATAGTTAACTTTTATTTTTTTTTATTTTTTTTTGAATTACTAATAAATCATTTGGTTTTATTCATTTACTTAAGATCTTAGCGGTTTATGTGACTGGGATCAGAATGAAAGTACATTTTCTCTTCGGCTTGGAATGTGGTTTCAAGAGTTACTACGTCAGAAAGTAATTACAAGTTTTTATAGATCTTTGCAATTGAATTTATATTTTCTCGATCTATTGAACTCGGTCACTGACGATAAATTCACAAAATTTGAGAGTTAAACTTCTGGGACGGAATAAAAATTAATTTCTGATTTTTCAATGAATTTCTCACAGTGTACATTCAAACAGCTTAGCGATAACCTTAAAAATTGATCTAAATTATTTTAACTACTTATATATTATAAGTAGGTTAATGAATATTCAGCTGATTGTGACAAACCGTGGACCGATATTGAACACAAATTTTTGTAACGTAGCAGATACTTTGGAAACTTAACGTTACATTACCCTTGGCGCTTACCACATATTTTGTCTTGAGATTTAGTTTGATGAGGTGCTTTTCAGAGTCGGAAATTTTATTGTTACAGATATATATAATCTTCAACAGTAGATAAGTTAGATTTTTTTAGTGGCTGAGTTCAAATTGAAGTAGCGCTCACTACTTTAGTGGCCCGCGATGACTCCTTTTTTTATTACGTTCAGGTATGCTATAAAATAAAGCTCCTCTTCAGCTTCCGTATATCATATTTACGCAAACCCGGTTTGCGAAACGACGGTAATAAGAAGCCAAGTACGAATTTGGTTGGATGAGTTTATTTCAAGCAATCATCCACGCATTCATTTCAGCAGACAGACATGAAAATACAAAGCGTTAATGCAAAGCAAAGCGAATCTGACAAGGCCGGAGAGCCAACTCATGTGATAAAACATGACTCAGCATTCATAGTCAGACAATATCAGCTAGATATGTAATAAGTAAAGTAAGCGGTGCGCACACTCTGGAATAGAAACAGTCGAATAGTTGACAAGGTCTAAAGACGAGGAAATAATAAGTCAGACAGAATAGATTAACTGACTTGCCCAAAGGCTTGGGACAAACCCTGTGGGCTTGACATAAAGGTACACACAATACAAAGAATTTCTTCAATTAACCAGGAAAAGGAATTTTATCAAACCATTAAAACATTTGGCCAAACGTAGTAAGACGAGGTATAAGAAATAGAATGCTCCGCCTGTTGAATCAATCAAGTCAGTGACGTGTGATTTTAGTTGAATTTTGTTGTTGCTAGTCCATGGCATGATCGATAAAGTTTTATCCAAGTGTAATAAACAATTTGTAGTGCCTCCACATATATTCCAGTTCGCTTACATCTAACTTGGTTAAGCCCTTTCGATTAATTTATTTAACCAAGCCATTGACGCAGCAACAACTTATATGTACCATTTGCTCTTATTATTGTCTGGTTTGTATGAGCTCACATGACGTACCATTTGACCTTGTTAATCATTCGTCGCTTTTATTCATGTGTGCTATTTCGCTTGTTGCATGTCTGTCTTATATTTGTCTGACTATATATTCTTAGTCGTGCTCTATCTCTTCGAGTTGGCTCATTAGCCTTCTCCAACGCGCTTCGCCTATTCATTCGCATTGTAATCCTAGGGGTTGGCTCATTAGCCTTCTCCAATTCACGTCGTTTCGTACGCTTCGTTCGCTGCTTTTCAACTTCGCTTTGTGGTGTGTCCAAAAACAAACATATTCATTACTTCGAATTCATCTGATTTATAACCGTCATAATATAATATCATCATGAATCAGAATAATAGTTCTTTCACATTAATACGACAATCGGATAGTTCGAGAAATAGATTCATGCAACAAGTTGATACGTAATCGAAATGATAATAAGATGTAACGATTTTTGTATGTGCATATAAGCGCTGAAGTAGATTTGCTGCTTTCGTCGGATGAGGAAATGCGTTGTCTGTGTTGTATATCAAGTCTGGTTCGTTGATTGGTTCAGCGAATTCATTAACTTCCTGAGCTGCTTTGTCGACGTGCGGCGTCGGAATTTCCAGTTAGTGGTTCTGCTCGATTTGTCCTCGAGATTACCAACTGGTTGGTTGTATTCGATTTGTCGTCAGAATCGTCAAATTAGTCCTGGAAACTTCGGGCAGCTTTGTGATCAGTACGTTAGATTCAACGGCGGGCTCACCATTTGTGTACACTGGCGATTGAATGCGCGAAAGAATGAACGAAGCAGCGAACGAGGCGTACGAAACGACGTGAATTGGAGAAGGCTAATGAGCAAACTCCTAGGATCACAATGCGAACGAATGGGCGAAGGAAGCGAATGAATAGGCGAAGCGCGTTGGAGAAGGCTAATGAGCCAACTCGAAGAGATAGAGCACGACTAAGAATATATAGTCAGACAAATATAAGACAGACATGCAACAAGCGAAATAGCACACATGAATAAAAGCGACGAATGATTAACAAGGTCAAATGGTACGTCATGTGAGCTCATACAAACCAGACAATAATAAGAGCAAATGGTACATATAAATTGTTGCTGCGTCAATGGCTTGGTTAAATAAATTAATCGAAAGGGCTTAACCAAGTTAGATGTAAGCGAACTGGAATATATGTGGAGGCACTACAAATCCACTTAACTCTGAAGAAGAAACTTTTGAGTTGAACTCACTTTCAGGGTAATAAATATCTTTGTTCATAGTAAATTTATTTAGTTGCCCAACGAAAATCATTAGTTAGTCGATCGTAACCTTTCAATTATCAAATAAATTAATTATTTCTAACCCTAACTGTCATAATTATATACAAATTCAGTGAACAACCAAACGTTTCACACTACTAGGTTATTTATTTTCCAACTGTGTACTGATCGCAATCAAATGACCTACTTTAGATTTGTTTCAACTAATTTTTCATATCTGTTAACCAAATTATTTGTTCATAAGCTTTAATAACAAATTTCAAGCAATGTAATGATTTGTTCATCATAGAGTTATGAAGATTGTTGTTTATTACTAAAGTCATAAATCAGTCATTGTTATACCACCATTAGAAACCTGGAAGCACTAGACGGCCGTTTTGTCCTGGTATGGGATTCATCAGTAGTGCGCGTCCAGGACTCCAACTACCAGCAGGAATTGGCCCCCGGGACCTTTGGTCTTGCACGTAAACGCCTGTCCTTTGGACCTCCTGCCCAGTGAGAAAACGTGACCACCGAAGACAGTGGATGAAGTTGCGCAAAATCATTAGATTGATCAGAATTAAATTTTTAATACCGTTGGACGCTGGACAGCTCAGTTGTTCAGAGGACCAACGTTTATGTAGAAGACCTAAGGAGTCTTGTGTGCGCACTGCTAATGAGTCCCACACCAGGACGAAATGACCATTCAGTGCTTCCAGGTTTCCAGTCGTGGCCTAACAATGATTGACTCATGATTTCACTAATAAATATAATGATGTTGAATACTGTGAAATACAACTATATCCATCACAGGAGTTGATTTATTTCCTTCATAAGTTATAATTATATATAAATGAGCATTAATTATCATTAAAGTTTATTATTTCCCTTTTTGAATGAATTAACGTATTTTCATTATATAGTGGTCTTCTGCATCTTGGTCAAATGATGATGATAGTCTTCTTCGTCCAATGGATGCTAAAGCAAGAAGTACAACAAGTAAATTAGTATCACAAAGTTCACCTCATGAAAAAGTTAATGGAGCTGTAATTAGTTATTGGTTTTGTGAACTTGATCGAAGGAATAGAGGGTTAGTTAATTCCTATATCTGGTTCTTACTTATTTTCTGATTAGCTGTTTTTTTAGCGAGTTAGTTTTCTACGGGATAGGGTCTTCAACCCTACGCCCGATCCTCCTCTTTTATCCGGGCTCGAGACCGACAGTAGCCCGAGAGTGGCTTCCTATGGAGTTGGATGCTTACTTACAATCAATGAGAAAATTCTGATTTATAATTTCATTTAACGCAATACTATTTTCCGCATTTTTCGATAAAAAACTGTGTTTACAATGATATAAGATTTTCTGCTCCTAACTAAGTTATGAATTGCTTTCGAACATCTACTTCAAGTTATGAGAAAACATTTGTTTAACATTACTCTATTTTTACTGATTTCCCATTTCATAAGTTCCTAATGAACTTAGAACTTATCTGGGTGGCATGATTAATGAGCAGGGGGAATCTGATGCAGATGTGAAGGCACAGATCGGAAAACCAACATCTGCATTTCTACAACGGAAGAACATCTGGAACATCTGGAACAACTATCAATCAACTGAAAAGTTACAATTTTCAATACAAATGTCACGACAGTTCCAATATATGGAGTAGATACTTAGAGAACTAAGAAAGCCATCATCCGGAGGATACACGTATTATTAACAATTGTTTACACGAGATACTGTAGCTCACTAGGTTATTCAAGCTTGTTTGGTTTACTAAAGTGCTAAACTGAGGGTCAACTGAATTTTAAAGTGTAAATCGTTTATTTTCTACTGAATGGTATTTAAGTTCAGCTAAGTTTGTTATATGGGGTGTTTAAAATCGGTTTTATAATTGTCTGTACTCCTCAATAAATCAAAGCCGAGGATTTCTTTGATTATAAGAATGACTATTTTCCTTGAAACTCGTAATCTTTGTAATCTATGTAACATCCATTGGTGCAACTAGCTAGTTTGAGAAATACAGAAGGATTTGAATAAAACTGTCCTCTTTTTAAGTTGAAGCTGTTCGGTGCCTTTGATCATGCTTCAAAGCAAGTCTTCAGGAACCTGGGAAGTAGTGAAACTAATCTAACCAGTTCATTTTTTTTCTAAAAACTGCCTCTCAACATAACGAAGAAGATGAATTAACTTTTCATAATTTTGATTGAATGATTACTGATTTTCTTACTGATAAACCATCAGGAAGCAGTAAGGATTTAAACGTCATAGATGATACTATAAATATTTTGTTGTTAATGCGTTAAATAAATTTCAAAGTAGAACCATCTTCATGCTAATTTGACCTAGATTTTCAATTTTTAGTTTAAAAGTAGAAGATTGCTATGAATTAGGAATTGTTAAGAAATCAGTATCTAAGCGTTTAAGTATACTTACTTACGCCTGTTACCCCCAATGGAGCATAGGCCACCGACCAGCATTCTCCAACTTACTCTGTCCTAGGCCTTTCTTTCTAATTATATCCGATCGCTACTCATTATTTTCATGTCTATCTCTAATATTCAGCGTAATGTGTTCCTTGGAATTCCGCTTTTCCTTTGCCCTTGAGGATTCCAAGTGAGGGCTTGTCTTGTGACTCATTTGAGTGTTTTCCTCAATGTGTGTCCCATCCACTTTCACTGCTTCTTCCTGATTTCTTCCTCTGCTGGAATCTTGTTTGTTCTGTCCTACAATGGGTTGCTGCTGACGGTGACTAGCCAACGAATCCGAATTGTTTTGCATAGACAACTGTTAATGAACACTTGTATCTTCTGGATGATGGTCTGTTAGTGCACAAAGTTTCCCCTCCATACAGGAGAACTGTTGTGACATTTGTATTGAAGATTGTGACTCTGGAGTTGGCTGATAGTTATTTTGAGTTCCAAATGTTCTTCCGTTGTAGAAATGCAGTCGTTGCTTTTCCGATCTGTGCCTTCACATCTGCACCAGATCCAGCGTGCTCATCAACTTCGCTGCCCAGATATGTAAAAGTTTTTACATCATTGAAAGCTTCACAGTCTATTGTGATTTTGTTGGTGCATGTTGTGTTGTATCGGAGAATCTTTCCTTTTCCTCTGAGTATGTTAAGGCCTGCTGCTGCTGAGTGTGCTACTACACTGGTCGTCTTCTCTTGCATTTGTTGTGGCGCGTGCGATAGAACAGTCAAATCATCTGTGAAGTCTTAATCGTCCAGCTGCATTCTAGCTGTCCACTGTCTCCCACGTTTCCCTCCAGGTTTTAACCGTTTCAGTATATCACATAACAAAATCAATCTGATACCATTGTTAATATGATGTAATTATTCTATGTCGTAATTATTTCATTCTATTTAGTTAATTAAATAACACTATCAATTAACAGTAAATATTTTGTCAACTGTTATGTAATAATTTTATTTTAAGAAAGCAAGCTTACAAAACTATTTTTATATTAGCTTCAAACAAACAAAAAAAACACATATAAGTTAACCTAATGGGATGGTTATGAATTTTTAAATTAAGAAACTATGTGGTACTTCATCATTATGATAAACTTGAAAGTATAACTTGTACTACCGCACTAAGAGGTTAATTGATTTTGAGCTAAGTAGTCAGTGAAAATTTATTAGCCTGTTTCAATGACTCTAAAATAAAGGTATCATAATTTTTACTCCAAGATATCTGATAAAAAAATACTCCATTTCTAAAATTATTAGTTAGTTAAGTGGATCCGTAGATTAAATTATCATCCTTCAGTTCTGAAGTATGTAGACATGAATTGAAATTGAATTCAGGTTTCATCAAATTTGAAAGTGACATATTCCTTGAAGAGAGAGATTTCAACAACTTGGATCTTGGATGTGTTTTAGTGGTTAGCGATCTGACTCTAATTTGGACGAATGATTCAATATGCTATGAAATGATAAATCTTCCTTTCAAATTCTATATGTTATGTGCTTAGGTGTACTCCGTTTGCACAACGGTGGTAATAAGAAGCCGTTCATTAAGACGTATATGAGAATACAAAGCGTGAAAGCGAATCAAAGTGAGGTGGAGAGGGAGAGTGAGCCTACTCAATGTGATGCGACATAACTCAGTATTTATAATCAGACAAAAATTAGCTAGACACCTTCAAATAAAAAACATTAAAGATATGAGTGAATAACAGACAAAGTCGAAAAACGTGTGAATAATAATAACTCGAAAAGAATGAGTTAACTCGTCCAAAGGCTGGGACAAGAATCCCTGTAGGCTCAACATATTTGTACACACACTACAGGGTCATGAGCACTTCATTGTTGATAATAATAAAACTTTACTTTATCTGATACTGGTTATTAATCAACTTTTACAAACTCATCAATAATAGCTTCATTATAAAACACATTGATTTCAATCATAAATCAAATTATATTCAAGCATGATAGGTGGGCTAGATAATTTAGAATAAAGAAATGTAAAACAGTTTTTTTTCTATATTGATTATTGAACATTGAAACTAGTTCATTGACTACCAAGTATACATAATTACAGGAAATATAAAATGATTTACTAGTTCATTGTGAAGCTGTATACTAACTAACTGTCTGATGTGCATCTAGAAACTTATTTATAAAACTTTTACAAAATAGCAATAATAATAATAAGATAATTAATGACCTTATCTAATAATAAAATCATGTAAATTTGTTGCATATATAATAAAACTTATTTGACCTGAAATTAATAGAAACAAATGGTCGAAAATAAATATGAAAGGTTTTCATTGAAATCATGAATCGATCAATGTAAAATCATCATTAGTTACCTAGAAACACCAGGCTACTGTTTCGTCATAGTATGGGGCTCATCGGCAGTGCATGAGGAGATTGAACTCAGGACCATCGATTTCGCGCGCAAGGTCTTGCAAGACCGCGGATTGATTGAAGTTAGACATTAGCATCGTTAGATGCTGGCCAATTGGTCTAGATGTTAAGCGTTCAAACCAGAAACCCAAGGCCTGTGTTCAATTCCTTCTTGTGGGGTCGTAGATGAGGAGCCTCATTCTAGGTAGATAAGATCATTAGACAAGATTATTTTCTTCATATGCTATGCCGTTAATTTTTCATAATATGAGTGAGTTTATGTTGTGAAATCCATCCTTAACCTTGAGAAGTGATGTTTGGTGAGAGATTTTAAATCTTTTCCTCCTGATCATCACAAATCAAAGCCGTTATTGCTTAACTAACTATTCAGAAACATTTGAATAAAAAATTTTTAATAATTGATCATTCTTTGTTTTTCTCTTATTAAATATTGGTTACTGAAATAAATCATTTAGCATGATCATACTGGTAAAAAGCATCAATCAACTTTTATTATAGATGTGTTAAAGAATAATGACGATCAGGTTTGCATTACAGGGGTTGTGAAGATTGTTAAGTTACGCATTTTTCGAAACCATGAATCGATCAATGTTAGACCACCATTAGAAACCTGGAAGCACTGGACGGCCGTTTTGTCCTGGTATGGGACTCCTCAGCAGTGCGCATCCACGACTCCTGCACCCCTCAGGATTCGAACCCAGGACCTTCGATATTGTGCGGGAACGCCCTAACCGTCAGACCACTGAGCCGGTATCTAGCGTTGTTAATGTCTAACTTGATCGAATTCAGGGAGTTGCGCAACCTCATACACAGTCTTCGGTAGACACTGCCTACACCCGACCAGGTTGAACTTCACTGGTCACGTCTTCCCACTAGAACTCGGAGAAGATTCCTCACGAAGCTAGTCACTAGTGAGCACAGGTAATTTGCATTACAGGGGTTGTGAAGATTGTTAAGTTACACATTTTTTGAAACCATGAATCGATCAATGGTAGACGAAAAGGTTTATCTGATTCATGTTTTTCATCAATGATATTCACTGTTACCTGATTGATTGTTAACAATTTTCAGTTTTCTAGCTCTGTTGTGTTCCAAGGTTGTTGGGTTTTTTTTATCAAAAGAACACGGTTGTCTCTTCTCAAAATTCACTTTTGTACAGAATATAAAGTTGTCTTGAAAGTTCTATGGTCTCCATGTCCATAAACATATAGATTATAAGCATTCGAGTATTTTTATGTGACAGAGATGGATGATGACTAACAATGGAATATCAAGGATGCGCTTTTCATCCTCTTTGCGACTTGTCAGCTGGATATACCTGAATCGCCTAATCGATGTCCACTCCTGGACTCAGACACAGTCTTCTTTCAGGTTTAATTTCTAAATGTTTACAATTTCACTTCGTTCAAAGTACAACATAACCTTCATTGAAATCATGACTCGATCATTGTTAGATCACCATCAGAAACATGGAAACACTAGAAGTATGTTTCATCCTAGTACGGGACACATCAGCAGTGTGCATCCAACCGTGACCAGTGAAGTTCAAATCTGTTGGTTGCGAGGTAGTTACCAATCGAAGACAATTGATAAGTTTGCGCAATATCTTGAATTGAACAGAATGAAACAATAATACTGTCAAAATGCCGAATCAGTAATTTAGAGCTTAAACGTCCGCGTGTAAGACTGAAGGTCTTGGATTCGATTCCTGCCAACAGATATCGTGGATGTGCATTGATGATGAGTCTCATACCAGGACGAAACGTCTGTCCAATGCTTCCAAGTTTCTCATGGCGGTCGAACACTGATCAATTCATGTTTTCAATAAATAACTACTTAGATCCAAACTAAGTTTGTTCATGTTAAGAAGTTACAATATTACTTGATAGTTTCAAGTTATTATTACTATTATTATTATTATGATTCCGGTGAAAATGCTAAAACTCATTAAATTAATTTATTTTATATGATAACTTGTTTTTCTTTCTTCTCAGTCAAAATTTCTTCTTGGCACACACTACTATACTACTTTTCTTATTCATACAAATTTTAATAGAAAAAAAAACAACCTTTTTTAGACCACGCGAATTCCAGTCTGTTCTGGAGAAAAACAACAATCATATTCCTGAAAGAAATAAAATTAACTATAGGAGAAAAGTAAAATGGTATAACACTACTACTACTACTACTACTACTACTACTACTACTACTACTGCTAATAATATTAATAATAGTGATTAGAATGCCAAATTATCATTTCAGACTAAGACAGTGAAGTTTTCAAGTTGTTTTTCCTCTTTTTATTTTCTCTACTTTTCACAATAAATTTTCTACCTGAAAATATTGTCACATTTGCGTGTGTGCGTGTGTGTGTGTGTCTGTGTGTGAATGTTCAATTGCCAACTGGACAATTGAACACTGTACAGCTCCAAACAAACTGCATAATAATAATAGTTCGTAAGAAATTATTAAATAAGAAAGTTTTGCGAATTTATATTTAAGGCAGAAAATTCAATTGTTTTTTCACTGGAATTTCTTTTTTTCATTGAAAGAAAAAAATATCTCTATGTACACTGTTTTGTAATCATATGAATTATTATATTCTAAAGAGAGAGAGACAGAAAAAAGGATGTCAACGTGTTGATGGCGCCTTTTAAATTGCATTTGTTTAAGAAAAAAAAAATAGAGAATCAACAAGACGAAATAATGTCAACATGATTTTATTTGGCTACCACAGTAAAAATAAATTTTCATATTTCTTTACTTTATAAAATTGGAACATTGAAACTTGTTTAAACAAGCATATGAATTGACAACAACCACAGGAAGAAAAAGTACTTTTTTTTATAAGATGAAGCGAGGAGATGTGTTCATAATCGTTTTTTTTCACAAAAGATTGTTTTAATTCATAAAATGAATAAAACTTTTGTTGTTGTTTTTTTTAAACATAAGTTTTTGCTGTAAAATCTATTGATCACTTGAAAGTATGATGATTCAGTTTGTATAACAAAGTATCCTTCTTCTTGAATGAAGTTACAATTTCATTGATATTAATAAACAAGTTTCTATTGACAAGTATGAAACTTATATCCATGAACATTTATTCTTGATTGCATTCAATCATTCGAAAGAACATATTTGATTTCTTTCTACATTAGAATGTCAGCTAGTCAGTCAGTCAGTAATGACACAGAGCTTCTTACGTGTATACATCAGTTATAGCACAATGGCACAAAGATGCAATTGTCAATTCAAATCCAACAGAGGCAGAGTTAGTAGAAGTACTAACGGTAATCGAGAAGATTAGGGTTCGAATATATTATTCAAGAAATATAATTCAATGAGATAAATTTAGGAAGGGGAAGATAGAGGTGATAAGAAATTCCGAAAATTTAAACTTGAGTTAACACAAAGAGTGGATGCATCCACGCCATCGCAAACGATTTTCAGCCATATCATTCAAGGTCTCTAACCATTGGTTAGCCTTGTCTCGCGGACCCCAACCAGGTAGTCTCTATTATAATGTATCATTAGATAAAGACAGATCGATTACTGCTACGATCATATGATAAATTACAATGTCAACTGTAAACGGTCTATGAATAAATTATTCATCTGACAAGGTTATTACTCATATTCATTTGTCTCGCTCATTTCAAGTGTTTATATATTCTATGACTTCCGTTCACTCACTCATTTTATTCAAATATACTCACATATAAAACTGGGTCTGTTTTGTAGTATTCTTTACCGATTACTTGACAATACAATGTCTCAAACAACTTTTTAATGTTATCTCTTAACATAATCGATTGAGTCAAGAGTTCACAAAGTGTATATTATTAATTCGAGAATTACAAGCTATTCAAATATATACTACTATCTATCTATAGATACATTCTTAGTATCTAGAAAATATTTAAAAGTTTCTCAAAAACAAAAACATTTGATGAGAATTAAGAAAGAATGAAATAAAAAATTAAATTGTATCATTCATTGTCGAAATAAATGAGAAAAAAATGTCATTTTTTCACGAAAACAAAAATTTTATTCAGTATAGTGGTCGAGTGGTGGTCTCATGACTGGAATACTACTACTACTACTACTACTACTACTAATACTATTGTTAATGATAAAGACAACGATTTTATTGAAGTTATGAATGAATTATTGTTAGACCACCATCCGAAGCCTGGAAGCAACTGGACGGCTGTTTCGTCCTAGTATGTGACTTATCAGAAGTGCGCATCCACGAGACCCGCATGAAGGAATCGGACCCAAGACCTTTAGTCTCACTTGTCAACTCTTAACCTGTTGACCCTAGAGCCGGCATCCAACAATGTTAATGTTCAATTTTAAATAAATCCACGGTACCGCACGAGTTCACCCATCGTCTTCAGTGGGTAACCACCTAACAACGAACAGAGTTGAACTTCATTTGACCATGGAGAGCTTTTTCCTTAATGTTTTCTTGTATATTGCAACTTTTAAACGATCATTACACTTAAACAACATTTTCTTACTAATTAACATTGAAAAGAGAAAAATGTTTTGATAATTTTTCAATGTATCTTCGATAGCTTACTTAAATATGCAGACAACTTACTTTAAAACAATGCAAATATTGCAATGAAGGTTTTTAGTTTTTTTAGTTTTTATTTTAATTGGATAATTTTGAGCGCGGTTTCATTAAATTGGAAGGTTTAAATAAAAACATACTGCGCTTATTGACGTATTGTTTTCCTTTGAAAACAAAAAATATGTCAGATGATAACAATGAAATAGATGTACATATTTATTAGTGTTGAATAAGGAAAAGTTATGTAATAACTATTCAGAAAATATTTATGTGCTTATTACTTTCTTAAAATCTACAGTTTTGGATTAAACTACTCATGAGTTCATTTTTCACTGTGCATAATATCGCTTGTAAAGTCATTAATTAACTAAGATACATATCACAACTGGTCAATAGGTGGGATGTGAACCGAGGACTTTTGGTCTTGCAGGCTAAATCCTAACTTCTGGACCACTGAGAAGGTATCTAGCGGTACTAATATCTAACTTTGACCAGTCGACGGTCTTGTGCAACCTCGTCCACCATCTTCAATGAGCACTACTTCACACTTGAACGGAGTTGAACTCAACTAGTCAAGACTTCTGGTTAGAATTCGGAGAAACTTCCTCATGGAGCTAGTGACTAGTCAGTACATATGATTTGCATCATAGAAATGTGGAGATTGTTGAGTTAGATACCTGCTCAGTGGTTCAGGAATTAAGCGTTCACGCGTAAGACCGAAGTTCCTGTGTTCGAATCCTGCCAGCATCAGTAGCCATAGATTCGCACTGCTGACGAATCCCATACCAGGACAAAATGGTCATCCAGTGCCTCTACATTTCTAATGGTGGTCTACCATTAATCGATTTCTGATTGGGAAGAAGTAACTCAACAATCTCTACAACCATATAATTCAAATTGTTCAATTCTCAGTTGTTCTTGATCAGAAACATAAACTCTACAACTTATCATCTCAATGCCTAACTTTTGTTTTGATATACGTGATAAATCCTTTTAAAATTAAAACTTGTATGTCTACTGAATTTTGGTTTGTTTTTATGCTTGCTACCATTCAGTTTACATAAATATTTGCATTTCTTGTTTTCTATACTACAAATTTTTTTAGATCATTACAACAAGATGATTTGAACTATTTATATCAATTATTATTACCTTCAACACCATGTTTAGAAGTATTTATCAATCGATGTTCCGGTTCTGGTGGAATATCATTTGACCAATGGCATAATTGTTTTGATATACCCCAAGGTTAGTCGATTCAGAGTACTAATCTACATGAGTATATGTATTGATTTTTAGCCGCCACCTTGACATGATTGTCGGGTTAGCTTATCGTGATGACCCTACGTAGCTTTATTGGCTGAAATATACGTTTTTGTAGGTTCTACCGTGCCAAGCAGGTCGAATGGAGAACGATGAGACTAAAATCAGCAACTCAAGGTCTGACGACAAAGTTCTACTGCTGACTGTAGCGGGGTGTGACATCAGTAAGTTGTTTCTTTCGGACAACCGGCACCTGCAGTGATGCTTCCTTCTCACAAGGAAGGAAGGATTTACAAAATTTCACACCTCACGTTGCCCCATGAAATTCATCTTCCGCGTTAAGGTCATTTTAAAAGCGAAGCTAACTCTATAAAAATGTCTCATCAAAAGGCCTTATGTGACTGGCCTCAAGCAGTCACCCATTGGGCTCTCAGGTCACGCCCTCATGTCACTAAAATCAACGCTAATCTAACTCCATTTCCAGGTTCCTCAAGAAATACCCTTACATGGTATGGGTGGCTGGATAGTGTCATCCGTCCGCTTGCCCGTAATAGCACATGGGATGTATGAAGAGTTCACACTTAGTTGAGAGATCAGAATTTATAATATGTTTCCATAAATCACGTTCTTTGTCTTCGCTCAGATTCTAATCTTCTGAATTCATCATCACCTTTTCCTTTCTCTATTTAAGTTTATTTCACTGGATTGTATTTCTCAAATAATATCTTCAAACCCCGATCATTTCTATTGTCGCTAACACTGCTACAACGTCTACTATTACAGGACTTGAGTTGAAAATCGCAACACAGTGTTAATGTAGCATGGCAACCAGAACTGATGTACGTACGTACAAAGTTCTACTTTATAGACGGCTGACTGACATATGATCTCCTTGATAATTCAGAAAATAAAACTCTTAGAAAAAATCATTTAACTAAATTTATGTCAAATTTATCACACCAGGTCATCAGAATATTCTTCATGTGAAACAATATTCGTGTTTTGCGTCTGTTTCTATTATTAAGAACATTCTTGAATGTGTTCAGAAATCAATTTTATATCTCATTGTTCAAAACAAACTCCACAACTGGTAAAATTTATGTTATAAACTGAAAAACTTTTGAACAGCAATTAATGTATAATTAAAATAAGCAAGTCAGTTTAAACATGCTAGCAATGCACAACAGATAATTATTCGAAGTGAAGTGACTTATGACTGAATATTTATGTTTGACAACACTGAATTGAAAAATGTATGCAAAAACTTGTCATGATTTGTATATTGATCAGAATATAGCTTTTACTTGAACGGTTCACATGCATCAAGCTCTTATGTCACCTTTAATTTTGAATGGGGTTATGACTACGTATTAGTGAATAGTTCTAAGTAACGAGGAAACAGTCAAGTTGGATTGTAGCTAACAGTGGATGGAACGTACATTGGATTGTTGTTAAATTATCAAGGTCAAAGCGTACACACATTATTTTGTGAAAGGTGTGTATGGTAAATGTTCAATCCATAGGTGTATAGATCAATGAACAATTTCAATCAAGGTGTAAACAACCAATGTTGCCGACATTTAAATGTAAATTTTACATATGTATATATCACAAGTAAAGGTCATTACCATATTTTCAAACACAACTCTCTCTCTAGCAGTGAATGATATAACCGATTTCTCATCAAAACGACTGATTTGTAAAGGAATTTACCGATATACCGACAAATGTTTAATGTCTAAATGTAAATAATAAACAGTGACCAAATTACATTCATATATATATATATATATATATATATATATATATATATATATATATATATATATATATATATATATATATATATAACTTTTATACTGATAATTACTGATGACAGTAAATAATATTGTGAAATGAAAGAAGTGTGTAGTTGTGAAAATTATTAGGCTTCATTGAAATCATGAAGCGACCAATGTTAGACCTTAATTGAAAACCTGGAATAAGTGGACGACTGTTTCGTTCTAGCATGAGACTCCTCAGTAGTGAGCATCCACGACTCCACAGAGGGGATCGTACCGAAGAAGTTCGGTCTAGCGTGCTAGCGCCTAACCGCTAGATCACTCTTTACGATAATTCCTGAACTAGTATGTTGTTCTCGGTGGGTAACTGAATTGATTGAAGTGTGATATTAACACCATTCGATGTCGGATCGGTGGTCTAAAGGTTGAGTGTTCGCGCGCCAGACCAGGTGTTCTAGGTTTAGTTCCCTCTTGTGGCTTCACGAATGCGCATTTCTGAAGAGTTACACATGAGAACCAAAAAGCCGTTCAGTGATTCCTATCAATCAATCATCAACAGCAACGTAGAACTTCGTGTGTACGTACATCATTTCAAGTTGCCATACCACATTAGCACAGAGATGTAATTGTCAATTCAAATCCCATAATAGTAGAGGTAGTAAAAAAATTAGCAGTAATCGAAGAGATTAGGGTTCGAAGATATTGGTTAACAAGTAGAATCTAGTGAAATAAACTTAAAGAGAAAGATAAAGAGATGAGGAAATCAGAAGGTTAGGATTTCAGAGAACACAAAGAATTAATGGACCTGTGTCATCACAAACAGTTTGAGCCATGTCACTCAGGGTCTCTATCCATGAGTCACTATCATCTCGCGGGCCCTAACCAGGTAGTCGACACCTACGGACATGACTCAGTCCACTTGTCAGTGACATCATGGATTTGTGCCATGTTTCGGTCTGGTCATCTCTAGCTTTCTTCCAACCTACGCTTACACTACAAAACATCGCTAGTTGAAGTAGGCGGTGGTTAGACATACGTAACAGATGTCCCAACCACCTCAACTGATGAAGTTTCACTACTTCATCTATTGACCTGCCATCCTTAACCAGGACCCGTTTCCTAATGGTGATCTAACAATTATGGATTCATGATATGATGGTTTATTGTAATTTATTGTACAATTGTGGAATTGGCTATCTAAATATTTGAGCACGCTATCACATGCCTAACACACAAGTGATTGTTAGTCAAATCAATGAAAATAGTGACCCTGTATTTCGATGTGATTTATAGCGTGTATCAAATATGTCGAGCCTATATGGTTTGCCCCAGCCTTTGGACAAATTAAATAATCCATTCCTCTCCAGTGATTATTCACATGTTTTTTTGACCTTGTCTATTATTCGCTTGTAACCTTGGCTGTTTTTAATTGAGTGTGTAAGTGTATTGGTTACTTCGCTTATCACTTGTATTTGTCTGACTGTAAATACTTGGTCAGGCCCCACCACATTGAATTGTCTCACTCGCCTTCTCCGCTTCACTCACTTTGTATTCTAATGTTTGTCTGCTTACATAAATATATGAAGTAACTTTATTTATCATAAAACCGTATTCGGCTTTAATAACTACCATCTCGCAAACAGGGTTCGCCTAAGAATAATATACGGAAATTGAAGGAAAGATTTGTGATGTAGTATATTTAATTCTTCGTAAAAATCCCACCTGGAGATCTTCCAGCGTAACTGTCAGTTCCAATCCCAGACAAATGGTTTGGGTTTCGGATTAGTAGCTCTATCTCGCGAAAACTAACTGACTGAAAGAAACAGTAACCTTCCAAAAAATAATTTAAACCATTAATTAGAAGAGTCATGACGCCTCGTGATGAAGACCAAGTTTGTTTGGGAGCCTCAAGGTTGATACCCCTTCTCACAATTAGACCAACAATTAATATAGGCATAATGAATGTTCGCATAATGTGTAATATACATTACACAAATACACTGGTTTAACTGATAAAATATTTTTATTTTGAATACAAAAACTTATTCTCGAACTCTGAAACATTGAACAAAGACTATACAAACTATATCATTCCAAACAGGAATATTTCATGATTATTAATATTGATCAGTGCTAGATCACCATTGGAAACACTGGATGGTCGTTTTGTACCAGTATAGAACTGGTCAGAAGTGCACATAGGCGACCCAGAACGCGCGTGCAAACTCATAACTTCGAGGAATACTGAGTCGGCATCTGACTACCTCAATTTAATCAATCCAAGGTATGACACAACCTGACACGTTGTCTTCAGTGGGTAAATGACTAACACTGGATAGAGTTGAACACCGCCGGTCATGCCTTCTAACACAATGATCAATTCATAATTTCAATAGAAACTCAACAATCAGCACACTTCTGTAATTTAAAAAAAATAGTGATTTATCAATATGCATTGAATATGTACATAATATCAATTTATAATGTACATAGTTTTTCTGTCGTTGTCATCACTGAAATGTGTCTATCAATGGATCATAATGTGGTGTGAGCCACTTATAAGTAGTATATGACGTGAGTGTCAACCTAATGTCTGGCAGCAGAAGATGGGGGGCAGATCAAGAAAGGAAGAGTTAGAAAACAATGGAATTTGTATGAAACGCATGAATAGCGAAAATGGATTGATGTTTTGCAACAGGAACAGTCCAGTTCGATATGATGATGGACTGATCTTTTGCAAATGAACGATTTACGATATGGTTTTCCGATTTTACTGAGTAACTCTGTAATTTTCGTTAAATACAGTCCAGTTGCTCCACCTGTGTTCTCCTTCACTACAATAAGAGAGAGAGAGAGATTGAGAAAAAATAACCAAACGAAAACATTAATCTCATTCCCATAAACTCTATTTACATAAAATTTATCAGATAAACTGATAATGATTATTGTAATCATAATATGTTGAATTGCGAAACTAGAAAATTGTTATTTCCCGAAAACCACACACACACACACACACACAAACACATGTAAACCTCCCTGATTAATTATCTACTCACTTTTATTATGTAAACACAAGTTAACCAGTGCTTTGTTATCATGTAGGTGTATGCAAAAAAGTTATTTTATGCTTATTTAGTTGTTTTTTTTTCATAATTGATAATATGATGTGGGTAGTCATAAAATCATAATCAGAAACTTATCAATAATAGTAGATTTCGGTCTAAAATTCAACTTGAATTCATTCCTTATTGGTGTAGTATCCAAAGAAGTCATGATCAGATGGAATGTAGATACACATTGAAATCATCAATCAATCATAGTAAGACCATCATCATTAGGAACGTGGAAGCTGTCTCTTTCTGGCATGAAACTTTCAGCAATGCACATTCATGCCTCTTGCTACTCAAAGTATTCGAATCCAGGAACTTCAGTCTTGCACACGAACGTCTAACCTCTAGACCACTGAGCTGGCCGGCATCTAACGGTGTTAATGTCTAACTCTGACCAATCTAGGGATTTTGCATGATGATCTCACCCGTTTATCTTCAGTAGTTAACGCCTACGCCTGATAGGGTTGAATTCCACTGGTCACATCTTCTCATTAGAACTCCGAGAATTTCTTCATGAAGCTCGTCACAAGTGAGCACGTTTTTTTGATTTTTTTTCATTATAGAATACTCTGAATATGATAGTGCTATGCACTAGTGATGAGTCTCAGGTAGCTATTTCAAGACAACACGGTTATTTACAAATTATGTACACATACATATATTTTTGAAACCATGAACCGATCAATGTTAGACCACCATTAGAAACCTGGAAGCACTGGACGGCCGTTTCGTCCTGGTATGGGACTCCTCAGCAGGAGTCGTGGATGCGCACTGCTGATGAGTCCCATACCAGGACGAAACGGCCGTCCAGTGCTTCCAGGTTTCTAATGGTGGTCTAACATTGATCGGTTCATGGTTTCAAAAATGTGTAACTTAACAGTCTTCACAACCCCGTAATGCACATACACATATAGTATGTATGTAATCATTTATTTTGAACCCATACGGGTTATTTTGGATTGTCTTTGCTTAATCTTCTTGTAGTCATGATGATACTCTGTTCAGGCATGCCGTGTATCTTGATTTCTGGACACTCTTCTCACTGGTCATAGATTCTAGTCGACTCTCTGTTGCATACTACTCATAAACCAGCTTGTGAGTAGCATCCGTCACATTGAGATTATGTATCCTTCTTACATTGGGAAAAGTATATCCTAGTTTTCGTTTGTAAACAAAACTATTTTAACTGAATAAAAGAAACAATCCAGCTTTTAAAAATGACCAATTTTAAGATAAATTTTTCCAAGTACTTTTAGTGAGATGTTGCGATCAATAGAATTCAAGTATGCCGTTATCGCAATAGATATTTTAATAATGGGATTTATTAAAGTTGGTTAATGAAGTTTGTATGTAGGTGTTTCTATGGTTGAATCATTCGACTAAGCAATGTTTGAACCTCATTTTGGTCTATAAAACTGGGTAAAGCATACGTATACCTAACTATTATTCAAAGTAATAATAATAATATAACTCTCAGGGTCTTAGATTTAGTTCCTAACTTGTTTCATATCTGAGCATTAATGACCATTTTTATATTAAAACGGTACAGTTGTACATCATTCTTATGTTTCCAGTGTTTCTTTAGTTAACATCAGTTTATATTGTAAATTATCTTCAAAATACCATTTACTTTATTCAAATTTAATTCGGCCAAAAATATTTCTTTAGAAACTTCTTTATTATTATCTCCTTTCGAGATCAAACGTTCCAATTAAAACCGTTGGATGCCGGCCTGCTCAATGGTCCAGAGGTTAAGCGTCCGCTCGTAGGACTGAAGGTTCTGGGTTCGATTTCTGTGAGTAGCGGGAGTCATGGGTGCTCACTGCCACTGATGAGTCCCGTACACTAGGAATAAACGGCCCTCCAGTGCTTCCATGTTTCTAATGGTGGTCTAACAATGATTCATTTATGATTTCAAACGTGTAAAATAAAACCATTTCTCGTAATGATGAAGTCAATACAGAAAAACATAACTCCGTTGACTTGGGAAATAATTTTTCGATTTATATTGTTAATAAAATTTTCTAATTCACAAAAAATAATTAAACAAACCCCCTTTTTCAATGTCTACTTTTTTCTACACTGAATAGTAACAATAATTGTATTGATTCAATTAATTTTTTGTTTGTTTGCATTTCCAGAAGAACGTGTTCAATGTAGCGAATTCAAATGAACAAAATGAACTATTTATTGATCATTGAACGGAGACTACTAGAAAAACTGATTGAAAATAAAACAAAAAATAACTGCTTTTTTCATTTACAAAAAAACATAATGATATGCAGTATAACTGTGAAAAATGTTATTTATTCAATAAATTATTTTAAATGAAAATAAGTGTATTTGCATTGTCAATGTCATTGACTATAACATGAAGGAATACAGATTTTCAATAACTGAGCACTAAACACCAATTCTCTCATAACACTTTAGTTGGTTTTTGGATGCGAGACGTGGCCGTTAAGAGTAGAGGACTTCTGTAGGTTACTAGTCTTCGATCATCGATGTCTCCGAAGCATTGCTCGTGAATCATGGGACAACCGTATAAGCAATGCTATTGTTAGGAAACGAGTTCTAGGTAGGGACGGCAAATCCATAGAAGAAGTAGTGAAACTTCATCAGTTGAGGTGGTTGGGACATGTGTTACGTATGACTAACCACCGACTGCCGCAACGAGCTATGTTTTGCAGTGCAGGAGTAGATTGGAAGAAAGCTAGGGGTGGACAAACCAAAACATGGCAGAAATCCATGAAGTCATTGACAAGTGGATTTAGCCATGTCGGTAGTTGTCGACTACGTGGTTGGGGTCCGCGAGATGATAATAATCGATGGCTAGAGACCTTGAACGATATGGCTCAAAATCGTTCACAGTGGCGCCGGTGCATTTATTCTTTGTGTTCTCTCAAATCCTAATCTTCTGTATTCTACGTTTCTGATTGAATCATACTTCTTGAATAATATCTAATCCTAACCTCTCCGATTACTTCTAATACCCGTACTAACTCTTCTACTATTGGATTTGAATTGACAATTACATCTCTGTGCTGATGTGGTATGGCAACATGAACTGATATACTTACTTACGAAGTTCTACGTTGCATCTGACTGACTGACTGACTTTAGTTGGTTTGTTCACAGTTTTCCGATAGACTTTCCTATAGACTTTTAACCAATAAGAACTGAAATTTAACATATCGTAATGTTAATCTAAGTAGACTAGCTGTCACTGTAATGAAAGAAAAGGTAAAGACAATATGGAATAAGTAGTGTATTTAGAGAAGTTTAGAGAAGTTTACTAACACCTAATCTTCAGACCTTCACTTTACGAAACTAATAAATTATTGACTGCCGTCTAGTTTTCAAAACACGTTGGTCAAGAAATATAATCGGAACCGATGTAGTGAAGGAGAACACAGGTGAGGGCAACCGGATTGTATTTAACGAAAATTACAGAGTTACTCAGTAAAATAGGAAAACCATATCGTAACCGTTAATTTGCAAATCTTCAATCCATCATCAATCCATTGTCTGACATTTCACTATTCATGCGTTTCACACAAATTCCATTGTGTTCTCACTCTTCCTTTCTTGATCTTCCCCCATCTTCTGCTGCCAGACATTACGTTTACACTCGCGTCATATACTACTTATAAGTAGCGCGCACCACAACGATATTCTTCTCTCCAGTAGTAGTAACTAGGGGTCGACGCTCCTCCAACTACTACTTATAAGCCAAGTTGATGGTAGTATCCACCACACGATGTCTAAAAATGTCTGTCATAATTAAGGATTAAATATTATTTATTGAAAGTGATTTACTGAAAGTAATCTACTACTAGTCTTTACTTTCGGAATAAATCCGTTTAAATTCTGATAAATTCGTTATTTGAATACCACATTTTTACTACATTCGAGCAAAATACAAACCATCATTCTATTCTATTTAAAATGTAACACTATAAACTTAAATGTCAAACAATAATAAAAGTGATTATTCGAAAGTATTATGAGAAAATAACAGTTTACATTTAAAAAAAAAGTGTAGAGTTTCCTGACTTAAATTATGTCAATAATCTAAATTGAAATCTGTTCCAGTAAATGGTGATCCAATTATCGTATTCAATAATGTATGTTCACTGAATTTTGAAGAATTTAGTGTTTGAAGCATTGTTTAAAATGTTGTTCATCCTTTCTTTGTCTAGAACATTGGAGCAGTTAATTATAATCTCCGTGTATAACTGATAGATCTGAAATCCGAAAACAATATAAATGAATATCTTAAACATACGTCACTGTCTGAATATGGTGTAGTTTCATTCTCGGAGTTGAATGTCATGCTTGTAGAGCTTTCATTGTTCTTCTGAACAACACATTATGATGATGAGCACAAACTTCAGGTAAAATTGTATTTCCACAACCAAAACATTCAGCCCATGCAATAAAATTCCACCATAATCATCAAGCTGAGTTAGAAATGTTCTCCACAACCTTTATCAGTTATCTGTTCGGCATTGATGGAAGCTATGTTTGATAGTTTAAAAAGTTTGTACTTAAAATCTTTGCTCTTTTATTTTGGGTGAACTTAAGTTTGTGAATAACAATTTTCATTGTACATACTTCAATGATTTTAAATTTACCTACGCAAACACTCATACATCGAACTCTCTGATATAAATGACATTGTTAGCATTGACGAATTTGTTAGTTTGATAAATAACCTATAGATAGCGATGTTTTCAGTATTTTACATCTGTTGTTCAATTTTTTATACTGACTGTATTCATAACGTTTCTCTATTCATGATCTATGACCGTAGAGAAATCACATCAAATGATTGACATATTTTGATATAAAATAAGATTATTTAAATCTGAGGAAATATATCTATTCATAGTAAGTTTTTATGCAAACACTTCATGATTGATTTCTTACATTTTAGTAATTAGTGAACTGTTGGGGATGTTAGATCCCCGAAATTCGCTTGATAATGCCTTATTTTGGTTTTCACGTTTGCCAGCATGGGCTGATCAGTTGACCTTGAGATTTCAATTCCCACCAGGAAAATCCATGGCTGTGATTGGCTGCTGTGTATTTTAGTGTGCTATTTTTTTAACTATCTCAAGGACGTTTCTACGTTGTATAAATAAACGAGAGTTGTATACTTGATTGTACTGTGATTGCTGGGTGTTTGTAGAATATACTTTCTACGCTTACAAAGCGTTTTTACTTCAGCCTCGGATTCAAGGTAGCCTACCTGGATGCTGGTTTATTGTCTCATTCGCGTTTATCGACTAAGATAAACTCGTAATAGCCTCAAGCATACTAAGTGACGAAGTCTACATGAACACTTAAAAACTCGTTTAATTATTTACTTACGCCTGTTACCCGCTAATGAAGCGTTGGCTGGCGATCATTCTCCAGTCTACGCTATCCTGAACCTTCCTTTTTAGTTCTAACTAATTGCTAGTTATTCTGTTGACATCTGTTTCCCATCCTCTTTGCAGTGTGTTCATTGGTCTATCTCATTTCTTTCAACCTTGACTGGTGATGTAGTCGGGTGATTTCCGCATATCTGTGTCCTATGCACTTCTTGCACTTTTTCCTAATTTTTTCTTTAGCTGGAATCTGGCTTGTTCTCTCCCACAGTAGTTTGTCGATTATGGTGTCTGTCTAACGGATCTGGAGTATATTTTATAGGTGATTGTTAATGAACATCTGCATCTTAGGGATAATGGCTTTCGTAATTTTCCCAGTATCCACTCCATACGATAGAATTGTTTTGATGTTTGTGTTGAAAATTGTGATTTTGTTGTTGGTAGACAGACAGATATTTTGTGTTCCAGATATTCTTGAATTGCATAAATACTATTCCTGATCTGTTAATCCATATCTTTGCATCTATGTCACATCCATTTTGTTTATCAATGATACTTCTCAGTTATGTAAATTTTTCTACATCTTCCATAGCTTTTTAGTCAAGTATGATTTGGTTAGTGCTTGCTTTGTGTGTTGTATCGAAAGATCTTGCTTTTCCCTTGTGTGTGCGTTGAGTCTCAATGCTATTGGGGCTGCTGTTAAACTGGTTGTCTTCTTTTGTGGAACATTTAAATAGTGCAATAATAATAATAATAATAATAATTACATTGACCATAGATATGATACATATATTACTTAACTATTTATCAAATATTTATTTATATCGATAGCATGGATAGGAAAACACTGTGGAGGCTTCTTCGACACTACGGTGTGCCTGAGAAAATAGTTAACATCATACGGAATTCTTATGATGGATTCAACTGCAAAATCGTGCACGGAGGTCAGCTGACAGACTGTTTCGAGGTGAAGACCGGTGTCAGGCAAGGTTGCTTACTCTCACCCTTTCTCTTTCTCCTGGTCATCGACTGGAATATGAAGACGTCGACATCTGGAGGGAAGCACGGTATTCAGTGGACAGTTAGGACGCAGCTGGACGATCTGGACTTCGCAGATGACCTGGCTCTTCTGTCGCACACGCAACAACAAATGCAAGAGAAGACGACCAGTGTAGCAGCAGCCTCTGCAGCAGTAGGTCTCAACATACATAAAGGAAAAAGCAAAATTCTTCGATGCAAAACAACATGCACCAGCCAAATCACTGCTGATGGAGATGCCTTGGAGGACGTTAACACCTTTACATATCTGGGCAGCATCATCGACGAGAAACGTGGATCCGATGCAGATGTGAGGGCGCGGATTGGAAAAGCAAGAGCTGCATTTCTACAGTTGAAAAATATCTGGAACTCCAAAAAACTTTCAAACAAAACCAAAATCAGGATTTTCAATACAAGTGTCAAGACAGTTTTACTATATGGAGCGGAAACTTGGAGAACTACGAAAGGCATCATCCAGATGATACAAGTGTTTATTAACAGCTGCCTACACAAAATACTTCGTATTCGTTGGCCAGACACCATCAGCAACAACGAACTGTGGGAGAGAACAAACCAGATTCCAGTGGAGGAGGAAATCAGGAAGAAGCGGTGGAAGCGGATAGGACACACATTGCGGAAAGCACCTAATTGCGTCACGAGACAAGCCCTCACATGGAACCCTCAAGGCAAAAGGAAAAGAGCTAGCCCAAGGAACACACTACATCGAGAAATAGAGAGTGATATGAGAGGAATGAACAAACATTGGACAGAACTGGAGAGGGAAGCACAGGACAGAGTTGTTTGGAGAAAACTGATTGGGCGGCCTATGCTCTATCGGGGGTAACAGGCGTAAGTAAGTAAGTAAGTAAGTATAGAAATTAATTTGAAATTGTATACTGTGTTATGTTCAATTAAATTAAA